GGCCGCGCCACACGGGGCCGGCGGCGCTGAGGGCACACCCCGTCCGCCTTTCATTGTATTTCTGGGGACATCACTCCCAGGAGACCCTCCAGATCCCTCCTGTCACAGGGTTGTCACCTCCTCGCCAGACCCTTGTATATGTTTGCGCATTGTCCTTTCATCAGGCGCAATAGCAACGAAAGTCTAAGCAATAAATTGAAGACCCCTGAGACCTGGACCTCCGCATTTAGTGAGGAGAGAAAATTCCTGCAGCTAACTGAAACGAGCACAGATCCGATGGCCCTTAAATATTAGCCTGCAAAAAAAAAGATGACTACAAAATTTTGTTTAAGCTGCTAGTTGACTAAATATTTCCTGTGCTACAATTAAATGAACCTAGACAGCCTTCACTTGTGGCAAGCTACTTCTTTATCATCTCCTGGGGCAGGCCTTGTGAAGAAAAGCTTTCTCAGGCCAAATGTGTTGCTAACAGGTGGACAACCATCTTCTCCTGAGTTTCTGCTAACATTCTATTAATAGAATACACTGCTCATCCTCAAACAAGGGCTCTGCTGAAAAGGCGAGTAATTATCCAACTGTCCAAATAGAGAGCAGTTTAAATAGAGAAGAAAAACCAAGACACTTCATCATCTTCTCATTTTACAGTGGTAGTTTATCATCATGAGAGGCAGGGTTTTGCATTGGCAGGCTTTATCTGAAGGAAATGAAAGACAGAAGGGCATCAGGCATTGCTTTCGTTTTTGTTCAAGGCTTCCTCTTCTCGGTTGTCTGGAAACTTACAGATAAGCTTAATAAAAGGAGATTTTCTCTTAATCAGAACCAGCCCCTCCAAAATCGCTGTTTGCTGTCAACAAGACTCAGACCTCCGTGACTCTGCTGTGGGTGGAAGAAGGAGTGGCTGATTTTTTTGAAGTCTACTGCCAGGAAGCTGGATCTGGTCAGGAAACAAAAGTCCAGGTGTGTAAGCATCTCTTCTTTGGTTTCTGCTCTTCGTCTCTGAAACTGAGGCTGGGCCTTGCATCTTTCTGGTTTGGCATCTGCTGCTTAACTTTTGTGTGTAAAGCCCAATGACATTTTATGCTCAGTATGCAGGTTAGATCATTAAACCAAATGTGGTAAGGTGGTTCAGAATTAAACCTTTAAAAGCTAAACTAATAAAGCATTTCAAATACTAAAATACTTTGTTATTTTGCAATATTAAAATTGGCTTCTGTCTTATTGATGAGGTTATAACCAGTTGGACAGAAGCTATGTGCATCCAACATAGTGTCCGTCTTTGGCTACTGATGAAATGGCTCCAATACACCGTGTAAAACCTAAAAGGCTACGAAACTAAGGGAATACCCATGGGCAGGAAGGGAAAAATGGTCAGGTAGCTTCATAAGGAATGGAAAAAATAGACATATTTCAATGCCATGAGATCTTTTATGCAGCATTTAATTATTTCTGGCTTACTTTATTCCTGGTTTTGAGAACTGTTAACTGAAGTTCAGTAGGACCTTCACTGTTATTCAAAAAGTACACTTATGCTGCAAATGCAGCTGCTCCTCATGCATTTTGTCTCTTGGGTATTTCCTTCAAGACCCACCTTCTCAACCTCACAAATGAACCTCCTTTTCTCTAGGTACCTGTGCTCAGAGGCCACCTGACTATCTGAGTGTTTAGACTGGTAATGTTGTTCAGTGAAGAACAGAGCAGTAGTAGTTTTAATTCTTTGATATTCAATGCTGTGCAACATATGAGGCTTACTTTGCCATTTAACTCATAATATAGTGAATCGCTGTGATTACATGCCATGAAACATCATTCTGTCATGTGGACCATTACACATAATGGGGAATCATTCAGAAAAAAGTAAATAATAGCCCACTCAGACCACTGAGTACACACTCTTTAATCATATGGAAGAGCAGTCTGAATTATTTAATATTCTTTTTAAATTGAGAAAGGCACTGACTAAAGGGAAAAAAAAGTTTAAATGTGTTTTAATCTGTTGGATAGTTTGGATTCCACATCTAGATTCCTGCTTTTTTCACTGTGAATAGCTAAAGATTGTGAAGTCATTATCCACTCAGCAGAGATTAAAAGTAATTATGTGATCAGGCAAGGAAGGTACCACAGGATTTGCAGCTTTAGTGCATGGCAGATCTGTTTTAAGAACATCAGGAAAAAACTGCTTCATTTGGCAAGAGCTTCAGTGGGTGTCTCGTTTGTTGGCATGAACATCTGGCACTGGGAAATGCATGGAGATTGTCAGCTCACTTCTCGTTAGATTCATCACTTTTTTTTCTGTCTGTGAAAAAAGGGGAAGAACTTCTTTTTGAACTGTAAAAAGGGATGCTTTCCTATTAAGACTGGTGAAAATTCTTTGTTTTTGATTTTCCTTGCTAATCACATGAAAGATTTTGTCCCTTTCCTCCATTTTTAAATCAGCAAAATGAAAAGCAAGAGCTTACCAGTTTTGGACATCTTAGATTTTGGTTGACTAATTTAAGTTTCCCAGAGGGGAAAGTGGAAGACATCCAACCAAGTCCAATTGCCAAACTGTGGCCCCTCCTTTCAGCTCAGGGAATAAAAGGCTCCTCCCTTACACTCATGTACATGTAATTTCATCCGCGTAATGTACCTCAAACTTGCACTGCAACAGGAACCCTTGCCAGCCTAGAAGGGGCCCATGGCTGACAACAGGCCACTGCAAAAATCCAGTGCTCAGGACTTGCTACAGTATCTCACACTCCCCATCCAGAGTGAATGAGTTCATAAAACTTCTCCCTGTTCCCTTTCTAAACCACTGGCTCAGTGTGCCTGTTTTCACATCTGTAACCCACGTTTGGTTCTGCTGGAGAGTACAGAAAAGCCTCTGGGGACCTTGAGGAGCTGTATCTTTAAGTCAATGCATGTGTTATATTTGTTTCCTTTTGCTGTATCAGCATTTAAAAAAAGTGTTTACCAAGGACATGGTAATTAAAACATCATATAAATATGTAAAGAGTTTCTGCTAGCTAGAAAAACTGAGGTCTGGGATGTCTGATTATAGTTATTACCCAAAGACTTTGCTCTAGCTTTGTTTTTCACCTTGGCCACTCGAAAGACTCACAGCTCTTCACAGCCAGAGGAACTGCCTCAGAGGCAGATCTGACTTTACATGGTCAGATATATGGGTGGAGAGGGGAGCACTGATTTGTGCCTTTGCATTTACAGGAGAGACAAACTTTTGTGTATTTTTCTCCATGTCTGCAGGAACCTGTCACTGTCTCTTCACACGTAGTGACCATTTCCAGCCTAACCCCTGCCACTTCCTACAACTGCAGTGTGACCACCTTCAGCCACAATAGCCCCAGCGTCCCCACTTTCATTGCAGTTTCCACCATGGGTAAGCAGCACTTTCCTGCTTTCTTCTTCCTCCTCCAGCTACGACATCTGTTTCTCCTTGCTTTCTAAAGCTGCTTTTAGTAATGCTGGTCCCAGGGGTTGTTTGTATCGCAGAAAGGCTGCCAGATGTGGATGGGATGGGGAGGCAGTTTTAAAAAGTCTTTAGAAAAATCCCTGCTGTGGAGTTGACTTGGAAGAATATAAACTAGGGGCTCGATTCTCAGTTTTAGAAATCAGGGACCTAGTTTGTCGTGTCAAGACTGAACATCAGGGTACTGCTTGATGACATTTATGGAGAAAAATATCTTCTCAGCCAAGCCCAAACAAGAGAAAAATCACATTTATAAGCTGCTAAGGCAAAAAAATCGCTTTCTGCTTTCATTGAAGAAGTGGAGATAAGGTGAGAGAGAAGGAGAAGGGCCACCACAGAATCTTGAGCAGTCACACCCTGAAGGGATAGCTCCTGATGGTGACTTCCTGGGCACGTCGCGAAGCCTGGCTCTATACTGACTCTGAAGAAAGAATATCAGGGTTGAACTGCCCAGGGCACTGGACTTTACTTTAAAAATCTCCCCTTCAGAATCATCAATGTCAGCTCTGCTTAGCTAGGGGTTTGTGTAGCTTTAGTCAGTGGTCCTGTATGTCGTACACCACTCCATGCTGGAGTTCATTGTCTGATACTTAGCTTAAAAATCTCCATTGTTTTCAATCTAAAAAATGCTGCTCTAGACAACTGTGGGTGTAAAGTTATTCTGAGCAAGTAAAGTAGAGAGAGTTTCTTACATAATGAGCAGAACAGAGTATCTGGTCTCATAGTAGTGCAGTCAATAAGTATGTAATATGGAACAGAAATAAATCAAGGTTGTGTTATTGAGAGTTGATTCCAGCTCTTATTTAAAACAGAATATTTTGTTAAAATTTATTTACCAAAGTAATTCAATCAATTTCAACCCAGTATATTACAGAACCTCAGCCTGTTATTTTGCTTTTGGGTCAGAAAAGGTATTGCTTACTGTTGAAGAACAACTTCAGAGTTGAAATGTGCTTTGAAGACATAGATGATGATCAATATATGTATTTTATATTTCCGTCACCTTTGTCTCTTTTGTTATGAATGTCAGTTAAAAAGGGCAAAAAAATCAGAACACGTCAAAGTTTAACAAAATGCTAGAGTGAAATCATTTCCCCATAGGAATTTTGGAAGAGTAGTAACTAGTCAAAACCTCCCTTTATCTCCAGCGGCAGATTTTTCTCTCTGTAACGCTCCAGGCTGAATGAGATCAGTTCAGAAAAATAATACTATCAATATTCAGGGGATAAAAACCGCCAAAACTGTCAGTGCTTCTGATTTGAATAACCAAGGGTCTTTCTTTGTATGTACAGTCACCGAGATGAATCCCAATGTAGTGGTAATCTCTGTGTTAGCCATCCTAAGTATCCTTCTGATTGGACTGCTGCTGGTGACTCTTGTTGTACTCAGGAGAAAACATCTACAAATGGCCAGGTAAGTCCATATATATGCTAATTCCAAAAATTTCAGACAACAACAAACACATCATGACAATAGTTGCAATTGAGGGTGCTTGTGTGCATGGGTGCTGCTCGAGATGCTTAACAGGATACCTTCAAAATAGATGTCTAGCTGCTGTCTAGGAGTAGCATGTCTTCTCCTTCTATCTACTTTCATTCTTGACCTGAGTTATAAGCCTCAACCTTTGTCTCATTTTGAGCTTTACAAGATTGGGTCTCTGAGAAGTGCAATCACTTAGTACAAAAGAGTTGTGTTGAGAATCTAAAGGATAATTAGGATCCCACACAACTGGGCATGAGCAGGACATCAAGATGCTTTGCAAATCTTTCATATGATTTGGAACATGAGATTTTCCGTACTGACAGATAATACAGTTTGTTCGTCAGGTCCAGGATGCTGCATTTCAGAGGCCATGTAAGGCCTGAGCCCTGGCAACCAAACCTCTAGTACAAGGGAGGATGTGCCCAGGACCCTGAGAGTCCCTCTCTAGAACATTTGCCAGTCTGCTCGCAAGTGCTGGTCTTCCAGTTGTCCAAATTCTTTATTCATATGAGCTTCTTTATTATGGGAACTGCAGCATGAGAAAGAGCATATGGGCTCACCTAGATCTTGTCTTTCTGTGCAGTGAGTATGTAGCCAAATATGCACTGAGACCCACAAATCCAGAAGGGATCTCAGGTACTGCTGTTCACCTATAACATTAACAATCCCAATTTTTTGTGTCATACAGATGAAGGGAAAATTATCTTGTAGGAGTAAACCTTTTTTTACAGAACCTGTGGTACCTTCAGCTATTTGCACCAATCATGTGTACCTGAATAATGAAATTCAATTTCCTTTTCCTGGTGGTCTTAGCTGTAACAGTTGTCGATTATGTTATAGCCTGAGTGAACTGTGGAAGTTTCTCCCAACCCTCAATATGTGGTTCACCTCCTGGTTTTGGAAGTGTCCTGGAGTCTTCATCTTTTTATAATCTGTGTAATATATTTTATATTAATTTACTGTCCTGTGTCAAGAAAGGAAATGATTTCATGTAAAAAAATTGTGTGAAGAATCTTGTACTTGGCTACCTAGCAGACACTGCATTTTATGTGTTGTGTCTTGACTATGTATTCCATGCAGCAGATGACCACATCTCACATATTTTGCAGGCTATCTCTTTCAGCAAACATTATGTGGTTTGTTCCTTTTACATGTAACTGGCTCTTTGAAAATCCCAGCTAAATTAATTCTCTTTCCTATTTAATTACTGTGCAGGCAGCCCAAAGCTTTTTGTTTTTCTCTTCATCACTGCTTCTAGCCACAGAAGATAAAAACCCCAGAAGGAAATTAAAAAGGTAAATCCAGCAAGAAGCTGCAAGCAATTGTTTGCTTAAATCAAGAAATCAAAAATCATCAAGTCAGTTTATCATTTGTAGCTGAAAATAATGGACTTGTGATAAATTCACTGGAACTTTATTCAGGAAATTAATTTTTTTTTTCTACAATTATTTTGTGAAATCAAAATTACCATGATCCTACCAAATAGAGACAATTATACATCTTCTCCTTAGAATTGGGACAGTGAATAGTATAGAAAGATAAATATTTGGCATGTGTACTGAGGCCAGCAACTAGTGCTACTGCCAGACTATAGAAAGTGCATATCTGGACAGGAGATGAGATCTGTTTGAGATCTTTGTTAGCAACTTCTCCCTTGTTTCACTCTTTTTGAGCATCATTAGGGAACCTGATCTCAGATGGTGTTGAACATTTATTGGTTTTGGATGACTGTGGTAAGGGATTTCAGTTATGTTTATCACAGATTGTCTCAGACCTAGTCACAGATGTGAGTGTTCAGCACTTCTCCGCAACTCCGAGAGTTCTCTGTTAAATCAACATCATTTCAAGCAGTGTGAATCCAAAAATGGTAACTTTGTACCCAATGATCTTCCTGAAACAGGGAGTGCGGGGCTGGAACCTTTGTCAATTTCGCTTCTTTAGAAAGAGATGGAAAGCTTCCCTATAATTGGTGAGTGTTTGAAGCAAAGCTTTTAATTATGTTTTTCCCCATCTCTGTTTTTTGGCAAATATGGTTTTTAATCTTAAGTGCTTATTTTTTGTGTCATCACTATCCGTCTTTAAGATAAAGCTACTATACCTGTTATTTTAGTGTTTTATTTCTTGAATGATGACTCAAGACTATGTATTCTGTCACCTGCTATTTTTAGTAGGGAATGATGTATATACATGTCAACTAAGTTACACAGGTGTGTTTTGGGAGGATATTTTTTTCCTTCCTCTTACAGAGATATTTACTAAAATAACACAAGTGTAGAAACTTGATCTGTAAATCCATTAGCACTTCCATAGAGATATATTGATACCCAAGAATAAGCTTGCCTGTAGATAACCAATTAGCAGCTGTCTTTATGCAGTACCATTAATTAATTTTTCCTTGGATTGCAAGACAAGGACAAGCCAACTCAAATATTTACTGCAACTTAATGTTCAGTGCTGTTGAAAAGACTTGGTGAAAAAACCATATTCTTGCTAGTCTAGAAAAACCACCTATAAGAGTTGCAGGCACTGACTGTGGACTCCAAACCATCACTGATACCATCAGCTGAAGAGAAGTATTTGAGCAAAGAAAGTCTGTATCATTAGCTTTTATAGAAGCAGAAGGGCTCTGAGAGCTACCTGACTGGCACCAGTGTGGTCATTTCCATTCCTATTTTGATAGTTGACTGGATGCTAATGACTGACCCAAAGTTTACTGTTTTGTTATTAGCAATCTGCAAAAACCTCTTATATTTCAAGGCAAGTCCAAACACAGATATTTAAAAGCGTACTGTCAGCCACATTCCAGTATGTAGGAAGAAGAAAATATGGGCCTTAGTTTTACACCCGTGATCAGCTTTGGTTGACAGCCAAGAAGTTGGAAAGAGGAGTTGGTACGCAGGGAACTGCTTCCATGATCTCATAGGACACAGCCTGCCAGCAAGGACGGGATTAAATGGACTGACACTGCACCACAGCAAGCCTTTTGCTAATAAGCGTGCAAACTGAACTAACAAGCCCAGCAAATCTTGTCAATACCTCACTGTGCTGCTAATTAACTGGATATTAAACAAGCTTCACTGGCTTGGTTTAGCTTTAATGGCAGCCAGCTGTATGCAGTACAAACTAATCTCTCTTTCAGCGTCTCTTGCTTGGACTATATTAATGGCAAAGAAGGCAGGAGATCAAACACTCATGTTAATGAAACATCCAAGCTTGAATCAGATGATTAAACTAGCAACAGATGTTATTAAAACCATTAAAGGCTTTTTTATGGGAAGGGGAATTAATTAATAGGTTTGGATGTGAAAGGGAAGGTTCTTGTTGCTTGATTTAGTATATGTGCATGCGTGTGTGTGTGTATATATGTGTATATATGCATATATGTATACATACATAAATTATCTTCTAAAAGTATGAATTGGGGAAAATATTTCTGCTTAATATCTCCACAAATTTTTGGTAACTGAAGGCAGAGTGCCCTAATCTTATGGTTCTGACTTCTCCGAGAGTTAGTAAAGATATCTTCTTTTGTGTGCTTCTGTTGTCTAATGCCAAGACCAGATTCACTGTCCATCCAGGCAGCCAAATGGAAAATATGGCCCTAAAGACACGTATAAGGATTAAGAAATGCATTTTTCTTGGGGTCATTCTAGGGATCTAGTAAGGGAGCTATGGTCATATCCACTGATTCCTAAGAAAAGCTCAGCTCCGCAGAGTTTTCAGGATTTGAGCAATCTCTGTATCTGTCTCTTTTAATTAAATAAAATTGTTCAGTACACCTGAGCAGTAGGTGAAAGACTATATAGTTCCAGGAAAACAATATTGTATTTATTGGGCAATTACATATTTTTTCATATATTGAATTGAAATCAATTGTTTTAGATGTCGGAGTTCTCAATCTGTGAACAATATAAGTAGCTCTGCAAGCATGTTAGCCTGTGGTTTGGTAAAGTGTGAAACTTTATAGTGATAATTTGATGATGAAAGAACACCCAGGCTTGAATAATTCCTTTTGCCCCTGTAGGCAAGAGGAAGTGGAAAACTCACTTGGAGTTTCCCAAAGGAAAGAGGAGTATTCCAGCAACATCATCACTTCTTTCTTCTAAGCCTAATGAAAACTTCTCTGTGGCACCAGAGATCTGCTTATAGAAAATCAAATTTCATCCTCAGTCCAGTCTCATAGAAACCCAAACAATGGATAAACCCTAAGGCCCTGATGCTGCAACCACTACAGCATATGGTTAACTACAAAGGGCTCTCGCTTCTGACTGACCCACACAATCCCTACCAATGCCTGGGGAAGGTGCCCTGCAGAAACTGTGCTGCCCATTTTCTCTTCAGCAGCAAAACTCATTAAAGCATAACTTGGAGTTTTCACTGTGTGGGCAGAAGTTTTCTACCACTGGTTGGAAGATTAAGATTAGAGATTAATACTATTGACATGACTTGCCTATCAGGGAAAACACAGTATCTACTGACTTCATAAGAGCCAAAAGTGCTGAAAAAGGAAATTTCACTTTGTGGTTCCTCTTTAGAACAGTTGTAGAAGGATGGTATTGTTTTTAGGACAGCAGATTTTCTGATGGGGAAAAAACACACTTGAGGATGTATTTGGCAAACAGTTCTGCTTCTGGGGAAACTTTTGTTTAAGTTTCATGAGTTTTTCACGTTTGCAAAGTACCTGTAGCCCACTCCACCAAAAGGTAGAACAGGCCTGAGTGGGTTTCCTGGATTAATGCCTAGCAGAATCTGGTAAACAGGTTGCAAATACAGAAGTTCAGAATGATTTTGTACTCAAATTTCCTTTAGCCACAATGAAACCTACTATGAATAGTTGTTCACAGAAACCAGAGTTAGAAGAAGTTCAAATAATGTTTTGCTGAAAACCTGAGAGAGAATTTAAAGCACTTAAAATGGGACTCAGCAAAATGTTTATATGGATGTTTTCAGAAATCTGGCTCAGTAGAGAGTATTGAGAGATATAGAATGATCTGAATTTATCTCTGATACAGGTGTTCTGATATCTAAAGGATCACTTGCAGGAGCAAACATGGGAGATTATTGTAGTTGTACATGGTAAAAAAAACTATGTCTGTCCTGAAATATCTCAAAACATCAGAAAATAGAGTAAGTACCATCTGTGTAATGGTCATAAACCTGTGGATGAAATTTTCAAACACATCTTACTCTCTGAAAATCTGCCAGTTTATTGATCAACATTGATTTAGAATAACAGGCCTCAATCAATACCATAAAACACATTTATTTTGATCATACATAATTTTATGTTGGATAGCTGAAAATCTTGCATAGGGTGTCAGGTTGAGGAGTAAAAATTCTATGGATACTAATAATGTTCTTATGAAGTAAGTAAAAGGAAACCTTTATAGGTTTACCTAATATTTAAAATAGAATTTGCTGATCTCCTGATTTCTGTTTGTCTTACTAACTCTCCTCACTTTTTCATCTTTATGTATGTTATTTATTAATGCTCACAGGCGTAGAAGTGTATTTGCTTTCCTAACTCTGCTACCCTCATGCCTTTGGACTGATTATCTTTTGGCATTTTATATTAATCCTTGGTAAGTGATTTACTTGTTTTTCCATATGCAATGTGTAAACAATGTTAATTTCTATTACGTGAAAAATGTGTGATACCTTTGTTTTCAAATGGGTCAAAGCTTTTGAAGATATAATTTTCTTGTACTAGAACATGGATTGGAGAGGATGTGGGTATCAAAGTATTTGCTACCCTGCTTCATCTAGTTTGTCTGTTTATGCTCCAACCCATCTTGGTATTAAAAAGCTAATCTTACAGTGGTTGCCATAATCATCTCATTGCTCTCTTTGCAAATTTTGCCACTTCATTATAAGTCCTGGCTTCTTCTGTCCGGTTATTCATCTGTTCATTGCCTGGCATTGTGTGCTGCTGCTGCTGCTTTTCTATTACTAAAATTGCTTAATCGCGTGCCACCTGTTTGGTGTGTGATGTCAAATACCTTAGTTTTTAAAGGTGCGTTTATGCTCTCCTGACATCAGTAAAAGTTTTGCTTTTGGAAACAACAGTTCACTGAGAATCAATACAAACCAGCAGTCCCAAAGTGTTAAAACTGGGTCATTGTGTGAGTGTCTCTGTATGTATTTGTGTATATTTAATAGTTTAGTCTGTAAATAATTTATAAAGACTTAGTAAAAGGCTGATTGGTTTTTTTGAAAATACCTAACCGACAAAACCACAGGGTCTATTTGGAACAGGAACTGTTCTACAAATGGTTTAACAAATAATTATAATTGACTATGATCTAAAAGTTCCTGATGGTCTTGAGTCCAAGGTACAGTGATTTACAAAAATGTGGTACCAAAGTTAAGATTTAGTTTTGACCAAACATTTTCCCTGGTGTTACCATATGGCACCAAAGCCCTGGCAGGCAGTCATCGGATCTTCAGCACAGGGATTTCTGAGACAGGTTTTCCTTGGGTCACACTGGGTCTGTAGAAAAACTCACCTAAATTTTCGGTGGGGCCAGAAATGAATGGGTTTATGTAACTAAAGGTCCATTTCTTCTCCCCTGAAAATAAAAGCATGTTGTCCACACACACCCAGCTGAAGAGCAAATGGAAGTCTTCCACATCTCTCCAAGGCTAATACTGTATTGACTTGTAACTTGTCTGACGTAAACTTAACTAGTTATATCGGAGTTGCACAGTGATGGAGGATCAGGCAAGCAGTTTATTATTGTGGAGGTCACACTGATCTTTCTTAACTCTCTAATGGTCAAGAAGCCCAAAGTGGCCACTGTCAATGGCACTGCTGCAAAGATTTGTCATCTTCTTTTGCCCCTTTGCCTCTTTTTGTTTATATTGCATTAATGTGCATTACTCACTTTTCCAGATGTGTATCTTTCTTCAGAGGTTTCCTCTTCAGTCAAGCTGCCTAGTTTAGTCTAGATGACCAAGTTTAAAGGAGCTGAAGTTGAATGAGATGAGATTAATCGCTCCCTTTGTATTTTCATCTGTAGGGTAAATGGAAGAACAGATGAAACACCAGCTAATGTTTCAAATGTCTTTGTTTTGCACACAAGTTGGTTTAAAACATTTATGACATTCAGGAAACAGTTGCAATGCTGAGAAACAAAGGCCTCTTGAGACTATCAAAGCAGAAGAAATTGTTGCTGAGAAATGGATGTCAATCATTTGTTTTACTGTTTCTTGAAGTGTTCCTTGGAGAAGCATTCCCATCATAAACAGCATTTAGATGTTTTCTGCTTTTGAAATGAATTCCAATGTGCCTGACATTAAAAGGTTTACTACAGTCACAGGGGATAGAGAAGAAATGTGTTGAATAATTTAGAGATATTAATTTTAAGATTTCATTGGAAAAAAATCTGTAAAGATGTAGAATAAATACTACTAGGCTATGTGTAATATACACATGAATGTACAGATACTATACAGATAGTATCTCTATAGATAACACAGTAGGCTGAGTAAAGCTTTAGAAAGTAAATCTCCACCTTAGTGTAAAGCTGATATTGCTATAGCTCCTCTTATCTCTGCAGGCAAAGCACCACATATAAATTGAAATGTACCTTGACAAGATAACAAAATTACTACAGGTTGTGCCTGCTTCAAAAACTGAACATTTTGTAAAACTTAATTTTGGAAAATAATAATTTGGAGTTTTTTAATTTCACTTCTAAATTTAGCAGGATAGAAAAATAAAAACACTCCACTTTTTAATATTTCTTTCTGTATATTTTCATTTTTTTGAAATTAAAAGTCTTCACTTTTAATTTACTAATTGAAGCTGTGACCCAAGTTACCTAGAAATTATTTTAATATCATCATGAAATTAAAAATAGCATCATTATAATGTGGTGAGTGAACAGATATTGCTTAATGCCCAGGAAAAAGAAAAATGAAAGTACTAAAATCCCTTCTGAGTAAGCAAGAATCTATTCGTGCTCTGTGGCTGATTTAACAGGGGGGATCAGTGTTTTCAGACTTCTAGCCGAATTATTCCAGGGTGCTCACTTTGTGCATTTAATCTGATTGATTGCTTAACTTTTTTGTTGCAACAACAAAATGAACACACATACACATACATAGACACACACCCCCACACACCCCTCCAAAAAATCACGTGGTGATATTTAGTGTAGTGCAGTTCTTAAGTCCATAACTTACGGGTTATACTGCTTAACACACTCATAAGCTTGCTCGCATCTGTCGCTAGTGAATTATGTCATTTATATTGGATGTGAAGACAGTGTATTACACGAACACGACTGGCGTAATTTTCTCTAGCTGTTAAAAGTCAATTAAAATTATCTAAGGTTTAAGCTTGAGTCCCACTAAAGTCAGTAGGATATTTGCCGTTGTCTTCATTGATCATCATAAGCAGGTTATGAAATGGGTGAGAAATAGCATTCAAGCTCTTCCCTTTTTCCTTCACTCTTCCTTGAATTTGCAAATGGTGGTCTTCTCCCTTTACCCAACAGCTACTTCTCGTTCCTGGTTGCTCTGTAGTGTTGGCATCCAGTTTCCAAGACCTCTAGAGCCAGAGTGGAGCAGCCCAGGGGACACTGTGGTGCCCCATCCTCTGCAACAGCACAGCCCCCTGCCAGTTTTGGCCAGGCTCTGGCCCCAGGGGCTCAGCTGCAGCCCACCTGAAGCCAATGGCGCTGTTGGGTCACCATTTGTAGAGGACCCATTGCTTGTGTTGGGCGCAGGTTTTTCCTTTCACAAGCAGGTCATTCTCAGAGCCACAGAATGGAAAACACATCCCATTGGTGTCAATTGAAATTTTGCTATCAGCTTAAAAATATCGAAGGTATTATCACCAGTCTCATCCTGAGTATGATGGAGACCAGAAAACATACATTCTTCAATCAGTACTAACTTTGAATAAATACTGTACAATAGTTTAATGAATGAAAAACACTTTTTTTTTTTTACAGGAGTAAAAATGGGTTAAAGAAGAGAAAGCTGACCAAGTATGTAACTACTTTGATATTTAAAGCAATAAAAAAATGTATCACCTTAGACTAAACATGCATTGTGGAGCACATGGTATAGTGATGTTGCAGTTATAGATATAGAGATCTTCTTGATAAATACATCCTGAGAGAGATATCTGAAGGCAGAAAACAAACACTAATTGGACAAAAGCAATTCTTTTCAATAGATATGTTGTGGTAAAAGAGCTCCTTACTGATAGAAAATTAGTCATTGGGGAAAAGATCAATTATCCGACTTAGTGATCCCAACAGAGTTTATCCTTAGTTAACAATGACAAACGGTGAAAAAACTGGGATGCATTTGTTTCTGGTGATATTTCCCTCTTGACATGAGGCTCTCATTACGGTTGTTGCTAGAACATTAGATCATTAATGCTAACAGGTAAACAGGAGTAATTAAGTGGCGATAAGACAGGTTCCTTTGGGCGTATTGCCTCAAAGTAAATGAAAAGATTACTGTGTACATGCTTCAGTAGCTTGTAAATTAGAGCATGATAATTAGGGGAGGGAAGCTGTTTACCTGTGTTTCGTTATTGAGAGCGTTAGCCTAATTATTTCTCTGTTGTGTTCAGAGACTGTGCCTGTACTAACAGATAGACCCCCACCTGGCAAAAAAGTGTGTAGAATGATGGGAGTCATTAAATCAAGGCTAATTTATACCTGCTGAAGCGCTGCATAGTTTTGTATAGTTTTATGCCACTTTTTTTAAGCCATTATCTCTCTGGCAGGAAAATTTTACCTCTAATGACAAATGTGTATAGATCTCAAAGCCAGAAGAGAAAGCAGTCACAGCAGCGGCATCCAAAATGCTATTTAAAAAAATCAAAACCTAAGCATGAAAGCCATTTTTCTGCCTGGGCAAAGCTCAGATGAGTTTTAAAAGTGCCTCTGCTAGATGTGAAAATATCTGAAAGCAACAGTTTACATGGCACAAGAGGGAACTGAAATGAAGCAACAGCTGCCCTGGTGCCAGAAACATGCTGGTGGGATAGTACTGAGAGTGGGTCTGCGATGGGGTGCTGGATCACTGCTTCTTGCAGTGTCACCTGTGCCTTGGGGACATATCCACCTGCAAAAGCAGTTCAGGGGCCGGGGAATTGTAGGAAGGGTGCATGGGCCATTCCCCTCACCTCAGACCAGTGGTTTCTCTCGGGTAGGACAACTCCAACCTCTGCAAACCAGGGTGCTTACTATCATCAGCACCAGCAGCTGCAGCATTGGGCTCACTCAGAGGGATCAGCACCTCTCTCAGCCTCTCTTTCTGGGGCTGTTACGGTATGATGCAGGTAATGAGCAATATGCCCACCATTTGGTGGCATTGAACCAAAAGATTTTTTTCTTACTCTTTATTGTTGCTTTCTAGCATTAACAGTTGCAAATACATACTCACAACTTGATAGTATTCTGGGGAAAATAGAAATAAAATGTACTAAAAAAGTTTTTTTTTCCTTAATTTCTGTGTGTTTTTCTTTTAAAGCCCTGTCCAGTTGGATGATTTTGATGGATACATCAAGGATATGGCCAAAGATTCAGATTATAAATTTTCTCTGCAATTTGAGGTAAATCTGTGGGGACTCTGTCCTCTCCTAGCTGCCATGCCTAGATCAGCTTTCTCCAGATGTTGGGTTTGTGTGGCATGTTCGTGTGCTCTGCGTTATTTAATGTCCACTGTTGCTAGGCGGGTCAGCTTCCCTTCTAGTTCTGCAGAATTTAGAAGTCCACCTTGGTGTCATTAAAGACTGCGTTTAGTAAACTGATTTGAGTGGCTCATCACTTTCGATTCAAGATCATTGTCAGACTGACGCACTTCCTTTAAGTTTAGAACATGCTGGCAGCCTGAATTGAATCCAGGATTTTAATGTCTTTATTTTATTGATTTAATGCTTTTGAAAAAAATTATTTATTGAATTTGAGCATTAGAATGAGAAGGTAACATTAAAAATCTCTTTAAGAGCAAGGAGGTCTCTCTAAGACCAATTCTCTCTAAGACCTAGAATTTAAAGTCTGTTTAGTAGTATAAAACTAAAAACTCCTATGCTAGGGCTAGCTCCCAAAGATTTAAACATGGAAAGGGAGTGGGGAGGACTCTCAGGTTGTTACCACTATTCTGGGTGGCTGACATGTTCCCTTCTTGCCAGTGAAAAGTCCTATGATGCATCATATATCTAGATGTAATGACTAGAAAGATCTTCCAAGCATTGCCCAGTATCAAGATCAAAAGGCAATTGAGGACTCAAAGAAAACCCTTTAAGTGGGGTGAATGACCACCACAGAAATAACTTATCAACCCCTGGTTTGACACTGTTATGCCTAATTAAGTGTGGGTAGAGAGGTGCAGTCTGCAGTGACGGCCTTGGATGGCAGCAGTGCATTGGCAGCATCGGAAGGAGAACCCACATCATTGCTCTCTAGCTGTTTGGAGCCAAACTCAGACCATCAGATAAGGAAAGTCAGTGTAATCCTACTGTCAGTTTATAAAGTGATTTATGAACGTTTTCAGTCTGGTACCTGCCACAAGTAATCACTTCACAAAGAATTGTTTTTTAAGTGTTTGTGAGTTTGACCTTGGCATTTTTCTTTCTGTTACCCCAGGAGCTAAAACTGATTGGGCTTGACATACCTCACTTTGCTGCTGATCTTCCCATGAATCGCTGTAAAAATCGCTACACAAATATCCTGCCATGTAAGTACAATACATATGGGCTCTTGCTAAAGTCCCTTGAGACGGAAAGAAGAGTTTTAATAAGAGAACTGGAGAATCAGGACAGATTTTCTGACTGATAAAAACCTGTTCTAAAACCTGCCCTTAGAGAGAACCAGGCAATAGATGTTTGTTGTTAGATTTGAAGAGATGTAGCTTTCTGGGGATGTTTGTCAAGACAGGAGTTTGGAGTGAGGAACACAAGATTGTCTGTATTACTGAGTAGTGTTATGATATTTTTCTTATCATTTTAAAGAAACCTAAGGGAGCCCAAAGGGACAGTAGTTGGAGGGTATATTTTGCAGAACAGTAAGGATGGTGCATCTGTGTAGCGTTCGCTGAAGCAAACATTTCTCTCTGTTGGTAAATATGAGCATTTTCTATTTTTTAATAGATTTTTTTTCAGTTTTTATAGGATTAGTTTTAATTTTGCCTAGTTGGAGATTACTGCCATGTTTGAGAGACAACTATTTTTTTTTTTCCTTTTACAGATGATTTTAGTCGTGTCCGGTTAGTTTCAATGAATGAAGAAGAGGGATCTGACTACATTAACGCCAACTACATTCCTGTGAGTACAGAGACTCGGTCAGTGTAAAGAATAGTGTTCAGAACAGCAGTTAGAGTGTGTCACCTGCAAATAGCACAGTATCTCCTGGAAGCTCAGTCACATTCTCAGCACATCCTTCAGCTTCCAATATTTTGCCTACAGGAAACTATGCTTTTCACTAGCCGCCAAAAAAAAAACAAAAACAGAAGGGTGGAATTTTTGGCAAATTTTGCCTCAGTAGCACTGGGTGAGCTGTGAATCTTTGTGAAACCTAGATTGGACTGGTAGAGAAATGGAGAGGAAGTGTTAGGTGGTCCAGTGGCTTTTTAAGACAGCTAGGAAAAACATAAACTTTTAAATGAGAAAATTTTCCAGGTTTCTACAGCACATAGAAAAAGGATTACATCAGATACTCCACAACTGACAAAATGGACACAGCCCAGATGGTGTGTGGAGAGAGCTTTTGCCTTTTGACTCATCTCTGGTGCGCCCAGTATTCCTCCCTCTGTCTGACCTAGAGCAGCCATTTACCAGGGAGTAGCACCTGGAGTTTTAGGATAATTAAAGTATACACGGGGCTGTAGTCAAACAGTTTGACACTGAGGGTGGACTAAAACTTCATTAGCTCTTTCTCTTTCGCCTGAGCTTGTTTAGTCACTTTGGCTTATCACTGCCACAAAGGTTTCCTCCTCTGTTATCCCCCTGTTGCTGTGACTCGGTGTAGGCTGTGTTAGAGAGAGCAATGTCCGCTGAGTCACTCTGTGTGGAGAGGAGGCAGAACCCTGCAGCATCCATTTAGAGAAAGACCTTTCACTTGGGGACCATAGACAGATGCATTTCTGCATCTTTGCCGTGAACAGAAGACAGAGCTGGCCCTGGCTGTGCTGGAGAGAGCTGAGTCAGCATTATGGGGAAGGGAGGAACCCTCAGATGAGTCAGTGAAACCACTTCTTTGCTACTGCAGCATGGTCCACGCATGTACTGCTGAGCACATTGCCTGTACTTAGTTTCTATGCATCGAGAGCATGAACCTAAACACTCAAGCTGCAAGTTCCTGAGCTTACCGTGATTCAAGAAACCAAAATATGTTCAAAAGAATCATTCACAACTCAGGAAACATCTATGACACAGGATTATGGATAATAGGATTTTATGTAGTGGTCCTTTTTGGATTGCTCGGTTCTGCATTTTATAGTTTACATCTCTTTAGTTCTACTTATAGCATAATGCTGACTGTAGAAACTGGGACAGACATGTCATTTTAATGCTTGGCTTTTCCTGACAATTGCTTCTCCAGTGACTACCTGCCTCCAAACACAGATACTAGTGGTGACCTGTGTCTCTGTGATAACAGAGATTTGACACTTAGGTCAGACATAGCCTATGCAGACAAATGAACAGCAAATTCTGTGTAGTGCAAAAACTCAGATCGAGCTGACTTCTAGAGATGTCTGGAGGAAGCCATTTATGGGAAGTGCTCCCAAATCATGAATATTTTTGCAACCCGCATACTGTGGTGGCACAGAAATTGCCCACTTTACATTGGATCATGCTGTGTGTTGAATGTATCTTCTGCTCTTATTAGGAATACCAAATAACATTCCAAATGTGGTTTTTATGATACAATCTCCACAAATACGGTCATAGCAAACGCCAAAATAGTCACTTTGTGAATCTTTATTACAGTCTTTGTAACAGTCTTTTGGTTTTGGAGAGGGGAAGGAGTCTTTCCAAGTAAAAGCATGTTGATAGGGATAGGAGAAGGAATAAATGGATATCTGAGCTTCAGTAAAACATACCAATGATAATCTGTTAAGGGTGTTGACTCAGTGTGTTCTCTATTATTTTAAGCAGAACTCTAATTAGTATTTTACTAATTTAGGCCCTTATGACATAAATATATGCATATAATCCTGTTCATTGCTACCTTCCATTTACATCAGTGACTGAAAATCACCACAGACACTGCTTGGGAAGAGCAGGCTAAGTGTCTGTAATTGGGTTTATGTCTATAACTAAATAACTCTTAAATTAGGAAATCTGGAACAAGCTGGAACTTTGATTTAGGATTCTCATTACTTTTTTTTAAATGTTGCCTTTCCTGCTCTCTGGGCAAAGGATTTGTATAGTAACAGCTTCATTTTCTGTCCTTCATTCTAGATTGCTTACACCTTGGGAGCATGAAAAACTGGCAAAAATTGTAATTTCAAAATAAATAACAAAAAAAAAATCATGAAGTAGTTTGTTTATATTAGAAATCACTTTTAAAGGTACAAATTGAGCAAGCTGAAAAATACATACGCCAGAGAAAAACGTGTTGTTAAGCAGTAATCAAGTTGTTAAACAGTACCTGTCTCTTTGTTTCTTAGGGTTATAATTCACCCCAGGAATACATTGCAACCCAAGGGCCACTGCCAGAAACTAGGAATGATTTTTGGAAGATGGTTCTCCAGCAAAAATCTCAAATTATTGTTATGCTTACTCAGTGTAATGAGAAAAGAAGGGTATGTAACAAAATCTTGCACATAGTATAAGAGAAACTACTCTGAAAACATATTTATTTTCTGGTGAGTGAATTTCTGTTTTCTGATCATGAGGCAGCATCATAACCAGACCTGGAATGGCATTTCATTCACTTACAGCAGGCATTTCAGGATGATTAAGGGACAGGAGCATCTTTCACATGAGGACAGGCTGAGAGAGCTGGGGCTCTTCAGTTTGGAAAAGAGAAGGCTCACGGGATCTTGTCACTATGTGTAAATACCTGATGAGATGGAATGGAGACAAGGCACCTCTCAGTGATGCCTAGTGACAGGGGAAGAGGCAATGGGCACAAATAAAATACATTAAATTCTATCTGAAATCAGGAAACACTTCTTACTGTGAGGGTGACTGAGCACTGGCACAAGTGGAGTCTCCCCCTTGGAGATAGTCAAAAGCCATCTGGGCATGGTCTTGAGCAGCCTGCTGTAGGTGGCCCTGCTTGAGCAAGGGGCTGGGAGGAGATGACCTCCAGAGATCATTTCCAGCCTCAACCATTCTATGATTCTGTGCTTTTAAGTTTAAATAATAGTAAAATGCAAATATTATGTATTATGCTTTACTTTTTCCTTGAGCTTAAAATAGAAATATTTGGAATATAGTTTATTTCTTTTATATGTATATTCTTGTTCCCCATGTTTTGTTCCTTTTAGGCCTATTCTATTAGGAAAAGTAACAATCTACAAAGACAGTGTATTTCCAGTCTGTACTAATGCTACCCTTCAGAAAAACGATGTATAGCTGATGTCCACAGTTAACCAATAAGAATGATCGGGATGAAATTCATTGCAGAATATGTTACCTCTTATTGCAGCATCAAATAAATAGTGCTCTAGACATTTCTAAAACTGAGGTTCAATATACTTTTGATTACGATTTTTTTATATGCATATGGATATATATGTATATAAATACAAATATGTATGCATTTCCTTCCCTTTCAGGTGAAATGTGATCATTACTGGCCTTTTACAGAAGATCCTGTTGCATATGGGGACATCACAGTGGAGATGCTGTCCGAGGAGGAGCATACAGACTGGGTTTATAGGAATTTCCGAATTAGCTATGTAAGTGAAACGTTTTGGATGGCCCTGCTAAAAGAGGGGGAGTAATTTTGGTCCAGCCTTTTCTTTAACTTTTGTCCATAAGAGAGAGATTGATGGCCTTACCCTCTCTCCACACAGGAAAATGACTAAATCATGAAACTTTCCCCTAAAATTGTTGTCTCTGAATTTCTCAGCACAGTGCAAGGCTGAAACAAAAGCAGTACCAGAGCTTTGGACATTTCTGTGGTGCCAATAATTAGTGACGACAAATGTGTAAACTTCTTTTCTTTATCTCAGGCATATCTTCTTGCTGTAAGCTATCCAAAACTTGAAAATACCAATGTAGAAATTGAAAATATTTTTCAAAAGGGCAATTCTGCAATAATCATATATTCCGATAAAGTATTGAAACACACGTGAACAGCATGCAATTTCCAAATTAAAACTGTTCAGATTTTTAAGCATTTCTTCCAAGCTTTGTTTCCTGCACCAGCTCGTTGCCAGGACCAGCTCGTGAAGGCAATGTTAGAGATACAGAGGGGACATGAAAAAAGCTGTGCACTGGCATGTTGACATTGGCCCAGGACCTTAGTCCTGCTCAGCCATGCCTCAGTGTGTTACAAAGTGTGCACAGGGCACAGGCTAGGAGTGCAGACATGTAAAACATATTATGTGTTGGGCTGTTGGTGTCTATTAAAAATAAGGACAAGACTGCGGTTTGCAGTTCAGGTAAACTGTCTTTTACCAAACCCAGGGCAGCTACTTTAGGATCTTTTGTACTGATCTAATTTTTTAATATCCTTTGCCTAAGGATCTGCTGTTGTCTGTGACTGGAGAGAGGTTACTGCAGTAGGGATATTTAGCCTGATCCAGAATGGCAAAACCCAAGGCATTGCTTGCCATGGGTTTTGATGATGACAGCTGCCTCCCCTCTCCATATTTTGAATTCCTTTAAGTCTCAAAGACAAAATGTGTTGTGTTGAGGATCTTATTTTACCTAAAGCCTCTATGGTTTTTATCATTAAAATTTTTTTTTGTAATAATGAGTATTTTTCTAAATATTTCCTTTGCCCCGTAATCATTTTTTCTTCGCTTTTGGTATTTTTTTTTTCTTTGAAACTTGCAAAGAAAAACTCTCAAGAGTCCAGTCTTTATTTGCCAACAGCATTGTTCTTTGTCCGTGACAATACGAGAAAAGGAGAGGGAATGGAATAGAAAGAAGAAGAAAGCCTTAACTTGAAAAAATGCAACAGTTCTTGATTTAAAAAAAAAGTGAAATCAAACGACCATGAGAAAAAAAGCAACAAATCCCAAACCCAGAAACAAGAGTTCATGCCTTTTTGGTAACGATGGCCTGATACACCCTCCCCTTTTTAATCAAATAGCATGTAAATTATTTGCCACTTTTTTGGCTGACTTTACTTTCTTAGGTTGTATTTGGGAAAAAAAAAAACCACAACATCAAAAAAAAATGACAACAAAACCTCAGCATGACTGCACTGTCAAAACTCCTGTGAACATGCTATTCTGCTTTTCCCATTAGGCTGATGAGGTACAAGATGTGATGCATTTTAACTACACTGCCTGGCCAGATCATGGTGTCCCCACCACCAACGCTGCCGAAAGCATCCTCCAGTTTGTACAGATGGTCAGGCAGAAATCAGCAAAGAGTAAAGGCCCCATGATCATACACTGCAGGTAAATGCCTCTAGAAAAAGGAGAACTTAAGGGTGTTACTTATTAAATAGGTTGGGAAACTGTTGGAAGGAGAGATTTCAGGGTTCTGCTCACCTGTTAGCTGGAGATGGTTTTGTCTGGTGTTAAGGGTAAAGGAACAGTCCCCTGCTTTGACTACAGTGGGGCTGGGATTTCAGCCTACAGCCATAGACACCAAGGCATTTCTTTCTAGAGGAGAGTCATCTCTTTGGATGTTATCAACAAATGGCTTTAGAAGGCACAGCAGGCAATCCTGATACACACTATCTCAGAGCCTGCCCCTGCTCTCTTATTTCCACACGTTCGTGATACGGGTGGTGCAGTCTGGCCAGCAGCCTGCCGCAGTGTGCTTCTCCCCTGCAGATGTGTGTCTCTGTGCAGATCCTCCTCCTCTGGTCATTCGGCTTTTGTTACGTTCAAGAGGTGACATGAAGAGTGCTATGCTGTGCTAGCAGTAATACCAGTGTCCCATGCTAACAGTTATAAGGGCTTTTTTCTTTTTTTTTTTTTTTTTTTTTTGGAGGAAGGTTGTTTTAGATACAGTCAGATTTATCTCTTGTGCATCATCTGGCCTTTTATTAAGATGGTCACTTACTTGGCCTCTCTGGGGGCAGCTGCCATGTTAGAGATGATATCATACCAGATTGGTTCCTGATCCAATTCTCCCAACTGACTTCAAACCTCTACATGGCTCCTTGTGCGAGAGCTACTCACAACAAACTTCTCAGAAATATGTAAATAGATGGCTTGCAATCAATGAATGTGTGTACATTATTGTGACATACTCCTAATGGCAGTCAAGGCTTGATGAGATTAATCTCAGCCAACCCTACATCACCCACCCCAGAGGCAGCAGTTACATTGCTGCACAATGTGTCAGCACCCTCCAGCCCTGTCTTTCCTGGTGCTGATGTGGCAGTCAGCACTGGCTGTCTCTTGCCACCACTTTGCACACTTTTCAGAGCTCCTTCCCAGAAAACAGTCTTTTATAGCAATATCATTTTTAGTTTCCAGGTATGGCACTTAATGTTCTACTGGAATGCAAAACAGCAGCATTTGTAAAGGCAGCAAATCATCAGCCGTGCTCTGTAACTTAATGGAAGAAATCATAGGGGATATTGTTCTGGGAGTCCTAATATCAAGAAAGGTGCTAGTAAGTCAGGGAAGGGATTTATATGTAGTGTTGTGAAATCAAATCCTTATATATGACTTAATTGTTCTGGGAAGGGATAGAAGCAAGCATCAGAGAGCTGGGTAAGAACTGTAGCATTTTCTTTTTAATTAGGATGCTTCTAGCAGCAGAGAGAGAGATTTTCAGGTGGTGTTTTTAGAGTATACTGTATGTCTTAGACCACATAGTTTAAAAGCAGCAATGCTATGAAATCAGTGGAGAAAGAATGTATAGATCAACTCCTACAGCAATTGTTCTCAAATGTTAAAGGCGGCATAGAACTGACATCAATACAACTTATCCATTTGTTATTTATGAATTTATCAATTATTAGATCTGTCAGGTAGATCAGAAGTTCCATTGTATTAATTTCATTCAAGATATTGACATTTTTGTTAAACACAAGCAACAAAAAAACCACTCACCTGTTTTTTCATAGTTTTGTTGAACTGTATTGGATGAACTGTTCAACTTTATGGAAAATACTTTCAAAGCTTTTCCAAAAAATACCACAAGATAGCAGAAAGACCTTTTGCTAAGACACACACTTCTATCCTCAGTAGTAGTCATGGTGTTGGGACTTCATATGAAACTCTATAAAACCTTTAAAGCCACACCCATAATGAAATCAGACTTAAACATTCCATGTGACATCACAGTGCAAAGAGTCATATGCACATAAGAATCTCTAAATCAAAACAGCGTGTCTTTTTTCTAGTCACTAAGCTTCCCTTTGTGGGGGATGAAGATTTGTCAGCCGAGTGGTTGCTGACTATTTCTGTCTCATGCTCCCAAGGCAGAAGTCCTGGAGCGTAGACTTTTCTGGGTGGTTTGTCCTTTGAGGATGAACTGTAGTAATGCAGTGCCTTTGCAAAGCCAAGAGCTTTGCATCGTGGATAGTGGTGACAATGAATTGTGCAAGTTCAATCCCAGCTGCCTCTGTGCAGCCTCTGTGCAGCAATCACTGCAGTTATGGCGACAGCTCCTGTGGTTAGAGATGTCTCATGAAATCTTTGAGGGGAGCAATGAAAGTGGGAAGAGCAGACAGCGAAAGGTGGGCAAGGATGTGCATGCACATTCTACGTGTCAGTGCATGAAGGGAAGTATAGGAAGGTGAAAGAACTACAGAGCCAGCCACTCCATACATTCTACCTAAACAATGTATGAAGGGTTGCACAGCATTAAGTCCTACAGATTAACCAGCCTGTCTGATCTCAGAGTGACTACATCCGATTATCGCAGCTGCCGCACGCCTGCTTTTTGCAGTACCACTGATTTTCTTCTGTGTTCCCATCAGAAAAGCCTGACATGAGATGCATGTCTCTGTGTGTTGCAGTGCTGGAGTGGGACGAACAGGAACCTTCATAGCCCTGGATCGGCTCTTACAGCACATCCGTGATCACGAGTTCATAGACATATTGGGACTGGTGTCTGACATGCGGTCCTACAGAATGTCCATGGTGCAGACAGAGGTAAGATCAGTTCACTTCAACATTATGAATGTATCATCAGATCTATTTCATACCTCTGTGTAGCATGTTCGTATCCAACGACTGAACACTTGGTAAAATGTCCCCCTGAACACTTAGAATCATAGAATCATTATGATTGGAAGCGACCTCAAAGATGATCAAGTCCAACCGTATACCCAATGCCACCACACCCGCTAAACCCACTAAACCATGTTTCAAAGTACTTGACAAAATAGCTATGAATAGATACAATTAAGTTTACATCTTTATTGTAATATTGTCCTGTTATTAATCTGCTGCGTAGGTGGGTCTGGGGTCTGATAATGTGTCTACAATCTCACTGATACCTTCCGGAGGGGATGAGTTATTCTCACCTTCTGTGAAATTAATATGCAAAATATGCATTAGAAGAGATTAACATTTGAAATTTTCAAACCATTTTGAAAAGAATTGGGCTGGCTGAGAGGATTAATGGCTCACGAAATGATATCAGTATCGGACAGCCAGTCACGCTTGTTCAAGGGAGTAATGTCTGGCCAAGCTTAGGAACTCAGTTACACAATGGCGGTACAAATAACAAGCAAAACAGACAAAAGGATTATAAGTCTACCAGACATCCTCCTTGCCCCTCTCCCTGCCCAAATATCTACTGGGTAGTTATTTTTCTGTTTTTAAGGCAAATGTCAGGAGTATAGTCTTATTGTCAGAATATATAATGGAAAAAAATATCACAAACTCTTTTTCCAAAGCAGAAGCTTTTATGCATCTGAAACCTTCCCAGGCCCTCTACTAGTGACGGAAAGATTTCGTGCCTCTTGTACTCTTTACTGATTAGACACAGTATAAGCTGGCAACCTCCATACAGTTGGAAGTGCCACCATCACTGTTTCCAGGCTAGGTCTGGCAGATAACTTGTTGCCAAAGATTGTTGAACCCAGAGCAAAGCAAAGAAGACTTAGCAGGGAGAGCAGAGGAACAGGAGGAAAACCTGCAGTGACAACAAGTAACACCTAGAAATGAAAAAAGGTCATTATTCTCAGACCATACTGGATCATTCCTGTCAAACTGTCACTTTTCATCACAATTCACTATATTAATCCAAAGGCGGATTCTTACGTAAAAACCAGAGAAACAAATCCTGATGGTTTATTTCAGCTGCAACTATATTACCTCTCAGAGGTAATAAGATTATTTTTTTTAAATGTACAAACTCATTGTCTGCCTGGGGCTGATATCAAGGGCTGGGCTTTGGCTGTTGCTGAGCTCCTGCTGCTCCAGGCAGTGTCCAAGCCTGGCTGCAGAGGTTACGAGGTGGCAGGGGCACTCAGGTGCAGAGGCCACTGAAAACGCTTTCCTTACAAAACCTGAAACCACACACCGCTCACCTGGGTTCACGTTGCCTCATACACTGGAAACCTGGCAGTGTCTTGCTGGGTAGTTTAAAAAAAAAAAAGGCATAGGCCCAAAAAAAGGGATTTAGATTGGAAAATACCCTGAGTTGAAACCAGTCACTCCAAATTAGTGCATGTGAGGAAATCCAGGCACTTCTGTGGTCTGAAACATGCTTCAAATTCATATTGATATCTCCTGGCATCAGCAGACCACTGAGGACAGGGGCTGAAATCCAGACTCAGTTTTTGGGACAGTTGTTTTTGCTTGCGATCCACTTGCTCCCTGTGCTTAGTGCACATAAAGCTTGGTGTAAGGATTCATCAGGGTTTGCCTTCTCTCTCTTCAAAATCTAAAAGTCATCAGTTAAATTTATTCCAAATTGAATTACAGTGTTTAATCTGTATGATGATAATGCTTAGAAAAGCTAGTCCCTAACCAAAATCAAAACCAAAGATAACCACAATCTTGTTGCACAAAAATCTGTCCACAAATGTAACAGTGCATGTGACTGACCTGACTTACTTAGTGTCAGAGGTTGATAACTCCCCAAATAATTAACTGCTTTGTGAACAAAATCAGGTTTCAGCTTTTTATTGGTAAAGAATTCAAGCACTAAGGAACATGAAGTTCATTAAAATATTTCAGGTGCATATGTGGCATGGATACAATTTGTTGCACATAAAGCATTCAGGTACTTTTCTGGAATTAATTCATTTTCAGCAATATAAAGTAGACCCACTTTAGCTCAGGTCCAACTGAACTATTCCATTCCATTCCATTCCATCCTACCCTATCCTATTCTATTCTTACCTCCCATCATCAGTCGGGTTATGAACAACTGATTATGATGCCAGGGCAGATCAGGTGGATTTTGTGCTTCCCCAGCTGCTATCTGTAGCAATTGCAGGCTATTATTTTGGGAGCTGACAACTCACTGTACATTGTGAGGGGCTGAGGAGGGAGGGACAGAGAATCTGTGCAGCCTGTTACTGTGAACTATAAAAGTCTTTCACCATTTGGATTTTTGTCATGCTTTCTGAGGTGCAAAAATACCCACTCATTTGGTGTTTTCTTCCAGGAACAATACATTTTTATTCACCAGTGTGTGCAACTGATGTGGCAAAAGAAGAAGCAGCAGTTCTGCATCAGTGATGTCATATATGAGAACGTCAGCAAGTCCTAGTCCAAAGTCACAGGTGGTAAGTCAGGCAAGCCCAGCCCTGCGCCATGCCCACAGCCTCGTGTCCTGGCTGCTCAACAGCAACCAGCATCATGGATGTTTGCTCCAGGAGCTTTGCTGGCAGTTTGGACCTTTCTGGCCCTTGTCCCCTGCTGAGGTGATGCTCACATGGACAGTGTGAGGAAAATGCCTCTAGCCTTTTGCAGTAAATAATCCACTATACCTTCCGCAGCACTTTTTAAAAGTGTATTGGCTCATCCATCGTTCAAAGAAAAAGAGAAGCTGGAAATCCTGAATGAGCCATCTAACTATTCCCTGCCACTTGTTCTAACACTCCTTACAAAGCTTAAAGGAGGGGAGGACTTTAATATCTTCAGTCTTTCTCAAGTCACTTACCAACTGCCAGGTTGCCAAGGCCAGCAGAGCTCTGGGGGTGCTCTGCCAGCGCTGCTGTAGTGGCAACAGAGCCTGCTCGAGTGTGAGGTGGTAACCAAAAAGCTCTGACATAAAACGCTGGGGAATTTTTTTTCATAAATCTAGAACCAGGGAACAGGAGGGGTCTCAAACTGGTACTACCATCAGCAGAAGTGAAGTGACCATCTTGCCTTTCCACTGAGCCTCAATTGCCTGAGCTGTTGCATGCCACCAGCCCAGCCGAGTCCCCAGCTGCAGAGTAAAACATATGGCTCTGACCTACTGAGAGGTTTGCTGGCGGGGACAAGCTGTAAGCGTGTATGTCACTACTGGTTAAGCTAATGAGCTTTAGTTCATTAGGTAGCCGTAATAACCCAGCCATAACCTTAATATTTGCTTTTGGGTGAAGCAGGAAGCTACAGACTTTCAACACAAACTGGCTTCTGAAATAGCTGGTGGAGAGCTGTGCTGTGGGCACCAACACCAGCCATCTGTGCTGTGTGTCTGTGGTGTTGCACATGTGCCTTTATTAGCCTCTGTGTACATCATTCCCTGCCCGTAAAATGAAGCCCAATTAGCCTCACTTTTCCTAATGTTCAGGTACTTTACTGTCTAATCTGAGTCCCAGAGCCCAGCTGCTTGTACTGGTGGGCTGCAGTCCCAGCCTGTATGGAGGGCTGGTAAAAATAACTGCCAAGAACTGTATTTATTTCCTTTTTTATTTCTAAAGCATTCTGTTTGTTTGGTTCCAGGTGAGACCATGAAGCACACCCATCTTCCCTTGCTTCTGATTTTTTTTCTTTTGATAGTTTGAACGGCCAGTTGTTCTGCCACAAGAGACCGCTGCTTTGCAGTACATGGACAATGAAAGAAAGAAACTTTTAACTTCCTGAAGCACTGGGAAGACAAAGCCTTAACGAGCCTGCGGTGTCTTTTGAACTGTTTCATTTCTGGACATTTTTTTAAAATACTGGACCAAATTCAACTAAACAACATGAAGGAAAAGACACTATATGTGCATAAAATAGATTGCTCCAGAGTGTTGGGTTTTTGTTTGATACATTTGGTTAAATTTTTTTTTTTCCTTTCTGGGCAGGTTGGGCTTAAGGTTAAAGTAAGTGCAATATTTTTTTAATGGTTAACTGAAGAGCTTTCTTCATGTGTCACTGGTCTGTACTAATGTCCATAGGAGAGCAGGCATTGTTAGTATCTAATAATACCTCATTAGTGAATAGCAAGGCATGAACTTACATGAAGAAATCTGCAGATGATCTGTGAAGAGAAACGGGGGGGGGGGGAGGATAGGGGGGGGGGGGGAGGGGTTTGCTGGGTACATGGATTTGACTGTTTCCTACAGCACTGATGTATGTGGGGTCTGGGGGGAGCACAAGACCTGAGGAACGGACTGGCAAGCAGAAATCCAAACCATGAAGCCTGAAGCCGAAGCAGGCAGCCAACACTGAGAGATGGGGTGGTTTCAGTTCTTGACTGTGCTACTACTAATTAAGCAGAGGGATTGCTCTTTTCGTCAGCCTTTTCAGTAATGCCACTGATCAGGCTCTTGTTTTAGATGAATCTAATTGAAGGGCAGCTGAGTTTCAAGCTGAGATATCTTAGACTCCATTACTAGAACATTTAACTGTCCGAGCAGTCTATGGTGCCTATACCCCTCATTTGTTTATTATTTTTAGTAAGTATTAACCCTCTGTAAAAACATGAAGCTGATTCAGGTTGGGGGGATGGAAAGGAGAGAGAAAAAAAAATGCTTTAACGGATGTAACTATTTCTCTGAGCCAGGAACTCACAGTGTTACAAAAACAAGGTTTTGGCATGTGAAAGGATGGTTATCGCTTTATTGCTATGAGGCTGCCAAAGCGTTGGTATGGATTCCTGCAGGGGCTTTGGGGGTCAGGGCGGGGGGCTCTTTTCTTTTTTGCTGTCAGTTTCAGTTCTAGTCAGAATAATTAGCTATATCTATATTTTTTTTTGTCTTTGTATAATTCCAGTACATCATTGTGTATTGTGACATGGATGCTGTCAGAATGGATGTTGATGGCATTTTTGTAACCTGTTACTTTGTGTCACCTCATTGGAAGTTAGCAGCAATGGTACTCAATGTAAACAAAGCAAACTTGAACTGAAAGTAAACACACTGGATTGCTTACCTGTGAAGAAGTCACTATTAGCAAAATAGTAAATGCACCTGCATATGCTTTTTATTCATTCATCCCAGGGCCTGCTATCACCTGTCAGAGTACCAGGGTGTAATTTGGTAGCTCAGCTACTTCCAGGAGCTTGATAACCTCCAGATGACATTTGAATTTTTTTCTTCCAAAGAGTTATTCCACTAGCAAGTAAATAGGTGTATATTCCTTTAATATCTACTTAATTTACCATATTGCTTACAATGGAAAACTTCCTTCAAACTATCCCATCTATAATATGCAAAACTGCCTAGGCTTAATGTAATCCCCCAAATAAAACAGGTCCTTGTGAAGGATACTGAAGAACCGGGACTCTACCTCTGATTATTAAATGGGTATGATGTGAATTGCCCCCCCCCTTCCCTTTCCATGTGTCTAATAACTATTTCCACAGTTTCCACTAAGCCCAGTCCTAAAGCAGAGTGCCATTTCTCTAAACAAGATGCACAGAGGTAGATGCAAAAGAGCAGAGGAGAGCCCTGTCTTCAGGGAGCAGACTGATAACAAGAAAGGCTTCTGTGGTACACATTTCTCTCTTATTATTTCATCAGTGTGCCTCAGCTGGAGGGCTTGCCATTTCAGTAGGAAGAGCAAAGATTTGTCCGGTCTAACTTGAGCAGAAGACAGAATTATAAATGAGCACTTCACCATTCAGACCTTGCTTACATGCTTTTTAAAAAAATATATTTCAGAGTTTCATTATACGTTTACTCAGAAAATATGTTTACATCCTTCTAGAGAACTAGCAGGGGGGAAGAAAAAAAACGAAACGCCACAATGTTCTTGCTTTCTCATCTACTGCATATTCCTTCCTGCTGGCCATTGCCCATTGAGCCTACATTTATGCTGTATCATAGACCAGAGTAAGCACGGTACTTTTTTTAAAACACTCATGTGTACACAGAATATAACAGTGTGAACTGGCTGTAGCAGAAGCTTGGCTGAACATGACAGGGTAGAAGATTGCTGGAAAGATGCCAAAATCGCATCGTTGCAAATTATATTGCCTGAAGAGCCTGAATTTACTAGACAGTTTTCGAATGCATGTTAAAAAATTGTTCCATTTGCACAGTAACAGGTGTGTATTTTTCCTTTAATAACTGCTTAATCACAAAATCAATTACAATGAAAACACTCCTTCAGAAAAATACTTTTTCCTACTCCATACAGTATGCAAAACTGCATAACTGGCTGTATTGGGATGGCAGTGGAAACCACCTCTTCCAGAGATCAAGACATAAGTACGTAAAGCAATGAAAGAGCCTGAGAGACATTCTGTTTCAGGAGACTCATGCAGAGCCTTTTAGCCTGAATCGACCTGTCATACTTTTGATTTTACCTTGTCACACTCCTTGAAAGCAAGTCCGAGCAAACAAACAATGTTTTGGATTCATGCTGCATGTTGATATGGTTTCTATCATCTGTCAAAACTCTCAAGTCATTGCAGCTGTAAAGCTGTCTGAGGCTTCAAGTTTTGTAATGGTTTTTTTGAATTATGGGTTTCATGCCTATGGCTCTGCTGACACCATAGATGCTCTATATTGACCTGCTGCTCTTACAGCATCTGCTGACCCAGATGTATGTAAAAGCAGCTCTGCACAGTGAGTGATCATTAATCGAAATCAGAGCAGGTTTTCTCCTTGTTGCTTCATGCTGTGCATGCTGCCACAGAAGGAACAAACAACTAAACCTAAGGACATGTTTTAGAAGAGCTAAGAAGCTTTTAAAGTTGTGTGTGACAGTGTTGTCTCTCCTAGCATACCCTGTGCAGTGAGCCCTGACATACTTGGGTCTTCAGAACTGTTTCCTTCCATCCTCACACAAGGATTAAGAACAGGCTGGGAAGCCTTACTTGTGCTTTACTTCATTTTATAGGGTTTTTTTCCTGCACCTAAAGACAACAAATTGCCCCTTGTCAAACATTCAACATCATAATCTTAAGCACCAAAATGGCCCTTCCCTCCCTCAGTTCATTAACCACACCATCATACCACATCCCTCCCACCTCCAACTTTTTTAAGGGCTTGTATGAAAACAGTAGTTTCATTCAGGCAGGCAAAAGCTGTTGCTTTCAGCCATTTCTTGTGAGTGGGTAACACTGTTAGTGCTGTTGACACAGATGGGAGCAGGGGGGTTCGTTGAGCTTTGCATCTAGAAAGTCTCCCTATTTTCTTTCATCTCCTCTTTTAATCTACAAATATTATCAAGAAGTAGAAGCATAGACTAATATCCTGATACTGGTTTTGGTCTGGATGCTGAGAAAGTAGTAAAAGGCCAAAGTTGCAACCTAAGCATGTAACTACAGAGAAACTGAAAGAAGATACGGGAGAGTGAAAGGCAGTTAAATAGGGACTTATTAACAAAAGTTTAACATAGCTGCAGTAAAAATTCAACATGTTTGTGAAATATTTAAACACAGAACCCAATACACACTTACAAATTCCCTCATGTTTGCACTTCCCATACATAATGCTGTTGCTTGTACGCAGAGGTGAGAGGCTGAGCGCAGAAATACTCCCTCAAATACTCTTGATGTATCAGACTCAGGGCTGTTTGTTTCGTGTTTTAGACACTACAGTCTTCACAGTTGTTGAGGAAAAACTTCATCAAAAAACTGGGCTTCTATAAAATGGTAGCTTGGCCAGAAACATGGGTTCCCATTCATAACCATGTTTCCTTTATGCATGAGATGCAGCCCAGGAAAATGAGCGGAGATACCTGCTTGAACAAGAGTCTAGTATTCAAGCTATAGCTTCCTTCTATATGTTGTAACAACCTGAAAACTCAAAACGCCTTCACTTCCCACAGTAAAAATAAAAATTCTGCTAGTTGCAGGTTTCCTATTTAGAATGACTTGATCCACATGATATAGTTATGGGTTTCTGTTTGTTCCTTTAGTTAAATTAGCAATTACTGATGTTACTGTCTGGCAAAGCATTTCCAGGGACACTTTCCGAGTTTCACAAACTGATGAATACACTAAAAGTCACTGGGAGCTCTGCACATTTCAGAATATAATTTTGGATAGCTACTTCCCCATAAACCAATGATTTCTGCACACATTAATAATGTGGAAATCTGCACTTATTTCCCAGCCCCCTAAAAACACCAACTTTTATCTAGCACAATGCTTTGGAGCAATCAAAGTATGTATATAAATCTCACAGTTCACAATTTGTCTGAGCAAAGCACTGTTCAACATTTGAATTGCGAGATGGTAAGTAAATTGTTCCGTGTATCAATATTGGTTAGAAGTGTTCTTTATCAATTAAATGTGAGGTTTCACAGTGGTTTTATCTTCAAATGGCATCCCAAGGGAACAAACAGACTAAAGGAGTGGGAAGAAATGCCTTGCTGATGTTAAAAGGCATGTGCTTAAGAAAGCATAAAACTGCTGAGTTTTTATACACCGCTAAAACTCTTTCCTTTTTTTCCTCCACCCAGTTAAAAAAGCAGACTTGATGGCAGCAAAAGAGTAACATAGTTCCTATGTTACTGAACACAACTCCTTTTTCCACATCTAATAAGGCACTTTTTTGACATTTAAGAACTGTTTTGTTTCCCTTTCAAAGACACTTTTCACATATCACATCTTTCTAAAATATTAGTGTAAAAAAAAAAATCCTCGCTGCTCAAATCCTAAAGAAAACATTTTGAATGAAACACTGCATTTTACCACTGTTTTTAAGACGCTGAAAATTTTGAAGAAAACATTTTATTTTTGTTTGAGGAACCCCAGATGAGATCTCATTTTGGTTTCTTGTAACTGCAAACAAGCTGAAAATTCGAAAATTGTGCAGCAGGGGGGTGAAGCTCCCTGCAGTGCTTTAAATCATCAAGGAAATTCCAGCGAAAAGGAAAATATCTGCATTAATGCCATTCAGATTTCACAGACTGTAACACAGAAATCACAAAGTCTAGTTCAGCAAAGTTAAAGGGTAAAATACAACTCAAGTTGTACTGGGTTATTAAGTCATCAGTAGTTAATTAAAAAACTATGAAAAAAAAAATCACAGAAACCCCCAGATTATTCTGCTTATCCCTTAAGTATCTGAAGTATCTCCAAAGATGCCTCTGAGCACACCGACCACATTCAAAGTTGTCTGGCTCTTTGTATACAACTTAACAGCTACACAGAATCCCATCTTCAGAAAAACAGTTGGGAAGCCACCTTTTTTCTCTCAGAGGTGAAACATGGATCCTTCCTCCAAGACCTCCGCATGCCACACAAAGGCTGAAGAGTCTCAGAGCTGATGCCTTCTTCTGGGCAAAAGCAAACCATATGCTGAATGCTAGAATAAGCTCTCAGAGAATATGAATATTGGCTTCATATTTTGGTAATTAACAAAGGAATAGAGTTGCAAGTAATCACTACAATGCCTTTTATGGAAACAGACATACTTTCCATGAGAAAAGACAGTGACTCTGATCTTTAAATATGAGTTTAAAAGACCTTTTAAAAAGTTTACTACTCCTGTACTTACAAGTAATGAAGCATCTATGTAAGAGTAGCTTCAGATCTTCCTTTATTTTCTCATTCAGCACGCAGTGTAGGGGACTTTGCTGCACAGTGAACACTCTTCAGGCTAGGTATGGATGCTTACTAGAGAGGGTGGGGAAGAGGAAATTTTAAATGTGCATCAGAGAATAGATCAAGCCTTTGGAGGTCTGGGCTTGATCTTTAATGATAGGACAGGCAGTGAGACAGCCAATTTTCCCCCCTAAAGTTATGTATACAGGTTGAATGGATGCAGTTATCATGCAGGTGTGCTGGTTCAAATGTTTCCTATAGGGAGAAAGCAATTGAGAATCATAATTTCTTTCACTAGGTAAGACAAGAATCCATTTCTTAGTGATTGCTATGGCAGCTGGAGTCTTCAGTGTGGGATTTGTCACTTCCTGACCCATTTCTGGCTAAGACTGTTTAAATGACAGGTGTAGAACCTACATACTTTTCACAGGCATAAAGAATATATATTAAATGTAAAAATATACATAGACACATAACCAACACACAGAGAAGTATTTGTAAGGACATTTACAATAAATGGCACTAAACACCTTTATTAATATTTTATTTTTTCTTTTATGAAAAATGAATAGGATTCTTTTTTCCCTTGTACGTAGAGGAAGAGCAAACTAATGGCAAAAAATCAAGAACACTTTCTTATTTTTATATCATTTTTGTAGCCACAAAGATACAACTATTTAACAGACAAGAAATACTGTTTATTGCAGACTTTAAGCTGATTCATGTGAAAAAGGCACTATGAAACTTAATCAAACTAGATGATTAAATTTGTCTAAATTAAGTGATATTATATATAATACATATATTATATATAAAATCACATGACTGTGAAAAAAAACAGAACATTTTGTGACAAAAATCATTGCATTTTCAAAAATAATATTTGCTGGAAGGGATGTTTCCTTTTCTCCCCCTTTGCCTCCAGGAATCCACTTGTCCAAAAGATTACATTTATAAAGGAACAATAGCTTTCTAAATAAGGAAAAACTGACATCTCAGACCAACACACAGAAGAGTCTAGATTATACACTGTTCTTTTGATGGGTTAAGTTACAAACCAAAAAATGCAAGTATATTAAAAAAATGCACTGTGAATTGTTTCATGGCTACCTACAGCAGATCTAATCACCTCTTTGAGCTGAGTTGTGTTACTATTTTCTAGTTATTCCTTCTTGTGCAATATTATAGTTCATCATGGGTGAAGTATTGATAAAATCAATGTACAGAGTACTATTTTGCTATAAACAGCATCATTAGTAATAAAACATCTTGGGAGTGATACAAGAAAGATTCAGTCTATGCTGGGCTGCTGTTCATTCTCTAAACACTTCTTCTCTGATTGCTGGCATCAATGAGTTAAGTAAACATCCTGCAGCCGAATGCACGACAAGAAAGACTGAGCCAAAAAGACATAATCGCACATTAGAGCAAGAGATGGGATTCAGAATCTTATTATTACTAAAGGGTTCAAATGCTTTTTTTTATTGCTGGCTCAGCTTCCCTCAGATGAATCACAAAGACATGTTCCAGTTTGTCTGTTACGTGAATTCCATAAAGCCAAGATACATCTTTGGGTGTAAATGAATCATGTGCCAATATTTTCACCTGTCAGGAACCGCCATTGAATATCCCATCTATTCATTTTCAATGATGAGAAGCCAGCAGCTGGTACTTCTGTGGAGACTACTGTAAATTTTATTTATGGTGGCTAGTTACGTTTACAATATAGTAGAACATTCCCCTTCACTGCTTCCTAAAGCAAAGCTGGATGGTATAATGCTATGGACAGTAGAATTAAAGAAAAGAGGAAACACGTTTAGTGGCTGCTTCCTTCATCAAAGGACTCCACACCTGAATCTGTGGCAGCTGCACTGATTTTTTCTTGTCGTCTTCTCATAATTTCTTGCAGTTCTGAACTACCACTGTTAGCCTATAAACAAATGAAAAAGAAAAATAGTTTACTTGTGGTTTTGACATGTGATGTAGCTCCTCTGCTAACATTTTAGTAAGATAGGTGTTTGAACAAATTAAATGCATCTTGCAGCTCCAGAACTAAAAATGCACTAAGATTCTGGTAAAATAACATTTGGAATAGGAAAGTATTTACAATCTCCTTAAATGTGGACCAGAAGAGAACCTGCAGACTATTAAAAGTGTCAGCTCAACTCTCAGCACTGCTGAGCATCTTTAGTTCTTATGCAAGCCCCTGGAAATGTTGGATATTTATGGGGTGAAATACGGCTTCAGTAAAAGCAGGGTTAAAGCTCAGCAAGTTTGTTAGGATTCCACTCCTGAGTACTTAAAAGTCATAGGGCAATCATATTTAGAAATTAAAGCACATAAACCCTTGGTGGTTTTAGATTTATGTAAACACAAAATTCATGCATGCACATGGGTTTGCACAGCCAAGGCCTAAGTAAACATCTTAGTATCTCACATTACACAACACACCATCATGCATTTGCTGTTCAGAGACACAGGTTCAAACTTAGAGCACAGTAATAAGAATTTAATCATATTACTATATTAGCAACAGTGATGTATTGTGAGGACAAGGCTTTATTTCACCTTTTAGGGTGAAAAACAGGTCTGCTGAGCCAGCTGCAAACAGATTGCTTTGACAACGTAAATGAAGTTATTAGCAAGGCCAGGACACATATCCACTAGAGCAGAACTTTCCAAAGTGTGCATGACTTTGAATAAAACCAAAGGATTATAAAGCAAGAGTCTTATCTACCACTGTGTTATTTGGCTATGACATGACCTTCCAAGCTTCAAAACTAGCTTCCAAAATAGCCTCTGAATATGGAAGCAGAAACTGTTTTTGAAATTTGTAAAACAAATTTCAGGAATGTTAAGGGGAAAAATCTTTCAGTTGATTCTGAACTCTGAAAATTCATCCCATTACTTAAAATTTTATTTAGATTTATCCCATTATATCCATTACAATGCCTTATCTGATGCCATTACATGGCAGTCAGGTTAGGTGTTCATAGGGAGGGAGGCTAGGATGCTTCTCCTAGGTAAATTACCATTACTCTCTTCTCCCAGAGTGGAAGGGCAAAGCAGGGGGCTTATAATTGACTCTCTGAAGGTGAGAGTGCGGTTTTATTTGTCTTAATTCATCTTGTCCTTGCCTACTTGGTTTCAGATACAGAGCAAGTGCAGCAGTCACCCATTACAGAAGTCATGCATAAAAAGCAATGTGCTGTATCAGAGGTCATGTAAAAATATTTTTCTGAAAATTACTGTGAGCAGCCGTGGCTGAAACAGTTTACCTTCCTGATAACATCAATAACATGACTGATGAGCTTGAAACACTGCTCAACTAAACCAACTGCAATACATCATGTGGCACAGCACAACAGGCACATCCTACTCAGAGGCAGGGTACAGCATAGCTAAATAGCCTAGGGCTGTTCTTAGGAATACAATTTTTGGAACAGACTGCTAGGCCTTGATCTTAGTGATTTACCCAGTTTCGTCTCTAACCAGATCATGAGGTATTGGTAAACTCTGTTGTTCAATCCCACTTCTGTGCCTGGGTCATTCCTTTCACTGAGGTGTCAAATAGAATAAGCTATTCTTCCAGGCAATTTGATACATACATTAGACAGAAACGATTTTCAGTTTTAAAGCAATGTGTGCCCGTGCTTCTCCTTGGTGGAGTAGGAAGACAATGAAAATGTGAGCCTGAAGGTTCCCTTCTGGACATGACAAAAGTGGTGTTCAGGATATTGTGTCTCTACGCTTTTCTTCTGCAGCGCTTTTCAACACCAAAGCTAGAAATGCTCAACAAAAGTTAAGGAAATGGACACATAAAAACTCATGTTCATGGAGACTATTAATATTTTCACTTTGCAATGAAAAAGTAAAACCATATAGCTGACCAGCCAAGTTGCTGTAATGCACTGTATTTGGCATACAAGGTGAACTTCAACATTCTGGAGCAGCCCCAGAAAACAGCTCCAGAGAGGGATACTCTGATCAGTACAAAGAGTGCGGTGCATCCTGCCTCCTCCTGAGACACGGCCGCTTCTCACCACCATTTCCTCTGGCAGAAAGGAGATGTTTGGCCCTGGCTACGGCCAGCTCTCTGCTGTCTTGACACACTGGTCTCCCACAAAGTTATCTTTCTGCTTTTTCTTGGCCAGGCCCAGAAAGCTGTTAAACCCCAAACACCTTCCCTGCACTTGCAGTCTGTGGTCATGTTTATACCATGGCCACAAAACTCCATTAGGAGTCTTGCTTCCCTGGATGTTTCACACTCTGGTGTCATTAAGGGGTGAACAGAGTTACCATAAAAAAATAGAGTAAAACAATGGAAAGTGCGGTACCTATTCATTTTTTTCCTCACAAGGGTAAAATTACTAAATTCCAACAACAACTGAAATTTGAATTCCAAAGACCTGAATTCCTCTGCCTGAGGTAGAAGAACACTAAGAAAATTGCAGCTGCACACGGGTGAAGATCTGGTTGTCCATATTTGGGAATGCAGCCCCAGATCTGAGAGGGAGGCCTTTCACTGGCTTGCAGAAATGGTATGAATCCAGAAACACTTGTGGAAGATCCCAAGTAGAAATAACAAAAAAAGACGATGCGTGGAGTTCCGTAATGCTAAAGAGCGTGTGGGTTTGCTCTGTCTCAGGATATTATTGCCATTTGTACTTAACGCCCAGGTCATTTGCTGCAATATGACACCACAAGTACTACATAAGGGATGTCGGAGAACTTCATGAAAATTTATCACTGATTAATCATGTAGGACAATTATGGTGGTCAAACCCATAACCCAGTAACTGCTTATAAAAAGCATTAAATTGTGAAATAGGCCTGACACTGGTACAAGTACGCATGTGCTTAAATGCTTCTGTTATTAGAAGCGCTTCTAGTTTGAGCAATAAGAACATAGCCCTGTTTGGAACATGCAAGCTCATCTTTGCTAGGTCACATGTAGACATTTTAGCTGTGATACTCATTCCTATAGCTTCTCTTAAGCAAAGACAGCCTTCCTAAACTCTGTGACTTGAAATATTATAGGGACAGAAAGGAAGATGTAACTTAATGTTTTGGTAAAACATTAGCAACAGCAAACAACAGACTAAAACAATCAGGAATTGCATGAATTCTGAAATTCATCAGTTAAACCTCAAATAACTGAGGCAGAAATAAATATTTCAATTACCTTTTCACTAGCAAAATCCAATGACCTTGTTAAACTCTTAGTACCTGTTTATTAACACTTGTAGAATGTTTATTAGACAAGTTTTGACTGCTCAGTTTCCTGCAGAGCGAGACCTGAGACAAGCAGAATAACAGCATAGAAGAAAAAACAGACAGACTTCTACAACCCAGTGCATCTCTGCTTTTCAAACTGACTGCCACCATCAAGGCACTTCCATCTCAGTACACAGAAGTCTTATGAAACTGAAATAAGATGGTTGGCATTCCAGAAAAGTTGAAGAATACACATATATCTTCACTAGGAAATGATGGATTGCTCTGGACTGTAGTGAAATATGTTCCTAAGAATAAAAGTGAAATATTTCTCCCTTCCTCTTACAGGAAAATAGGGCTTGAAGAAGGGAATAAAGCAATTTTAACAGTCTTAGAAAGCAATGCTCTGCGATCCATACTGATCAGGTAAATTGTAAAATATATATCATAAACTTATCTTTAAAAATATGCCTGGTAGTTAAAGCTTAAAATAATTTAAGCAAGACAGTCCCAGCTTCATAAGGAGATAGAAACATATTTTAAACTCCTTCAAGATTTTCTTTTAAACAGGATGTGAAGAATATAGCTTCTCATTTGGGTTAGTCTCACCTCTAGACAGTATCGACTCCATTTCTCTACTTGCCACAGCAAGTTTTAAAAAAATAAGTAAATGCACCTGCAATTCTGGTTTCAAATTGGTAAACACTCTCCCTAGCACAACTCTGTACAGGAGCTTTTAAGGAGCTTAAGGAACAATACTACTGTAATTAAAGCAAACTGCCACAGAGAAATGAATAGAGAGATACAATACTTTTATCCTTAGCTCAGTAATTCTGCTGGCAGTGTCAAATGTGTTTTCCCTCGCTTAGGAGCCCACCAATACAGATTCCCCAGTGTTTGACCTGAAAAGCTTCAAGATTCAACAGTGAGCTCAGTCTACCACTTTCTCACATCTAATAAATCAAATTTCCTCTACAAAAGTAAAGCAAAACTAACTCAACCACCACCAAAAGTACCAGGCAGAGCAAGAAGCAAGAAAAGGGGCATTTTACTCTCTCCTATTGTTTTTCCCAAAGCTCTTTTTGGCTTATTTTGTCTTCTTGCAGCCTGATTACAGCACACAATGTCTTAAACTTGAGTAATACCATGCACTTTGTGGACCGCTTTAGAAGTGGGGAGAGATCCCACCTGGTGTTTTGGTGGATGCTGTTTCAATGGATTAATACCAAATAACTCAGGTACAAATAATGCTTATCAACATAACGGGAACTGAGGAAAACACAGCTGCGTTACAGAAAACGCTATTTACTTCTATAGATTCAAAAGTGTCGACCTAGCATTAGGTTAGTAAGAAGGTTTATACATACCTCCAAGGCAGATTTCTGTACCGTAATTTGGCTGTAGACTCTAGACCCTTCTGGGCAAACAGTCCTCAGTTCCTCTTTATTGAGGGAGAAAAGCTGAGCACCCGTCAGCACGCCAAGGCTGTTGACAGTCCTGGGGTCACACCAAGGGAACAAACAAGAAACAAGCAAAAATACAGTAGCCAAGGGAGAGAAGTAGGTTGTCTTCAACCCACATTGTCTCAGGCATAGGCTACTAAATCAAGACAAAACTTTATTCAACAGGACTCTTAAAGTCAATTCAGTATCTGTTATAACAAGTATCTTTTGGTGGAGGCCAATATATATAATATTTTTTCCTAAGTATATCTATATCTCTATAGATCTATAACTACCTTGATATATATTGAGATATATATACACACATATATACATAAATATATATTTATGTAGAAACAAATTCTTTTTTCCAAAGGTGCAGCTGACATATCTTGATTTTCAGAAGGCTGCTTGATTTTAAAATGTGGGGGACCACATCCTAATAATTGACAGAAAAAGAATTTTGAAAAGTTTTCTTACATTTTCCCTCAAACTTACACAGGGTTGAATCCTTTGGACTGCAACCACGCTTTCACATCCTCAGGCGAAGAGTCATAAGTGATGTTAACTACTGGGATGTTTGGTCGTGGCACATGGAACTTCCTCTGGGCAGCGCTCCGGCCGATGGTGAGACGGTGAACAAGTTCATCCTGCACCTCCTCCATCTGCGATTTCCTGCCTAGAGAGAGAGAGGTGCCCCCCAAAAGTCATTCTCAAGGTTGCTTTATCAAAGTCAGGTAATTTCTTATACTTCACTTTAAATCTTAAACTTTTTTTTTTTTCTTAAAGATTCATTGACGAGATCTCACTGAATTATTATTCTCCTTTTTCACCAGGGAAGATTTCAATATTCCCACTCCTCTCTCTGCCAAACAGAAGTAAAAAAAAAACCAAAACCCAAAGTTCAACTGAGACCCTAGAAAGAGGAAGTGAGCTTGATGTCACACAGAGACGTAAATCATTCTGACAGCACACAAGCTGTAGAAGAAAATGGGCACAGAGGGTTATTCAATTGTCATAGTCTGTGTTTCTTCAAATAGAATTATGATGTTTTAAAAATGAAAATAAAAAAGATGAGGAAGAATATAAGATTGCTTACACTGTGGAAAGGCAGCGCTTCCCTCAAATATTTTTTTAATTGAAGGCTCAACTTTTTAGTGCAAATCAATGTAGGCAAAACAAATTCACTGCTGCTGACACGTATCACCTTACATCTAATAAGTTATTGTAGTAATCACATTTTTGAAAGGTTTTTAAGAAATTTGAATTCATTCCAAGCCTGAAACGACTAGTTAGCTGAAACAATGTCACACTTCGCATTAAAAAAAGAAGGAAAAAAAAAAAAGTAGTTTTTTCTCACTAGAGAGACAGGAATTGGGCCAGTTGTTTGTTGTGTTTTTTTTAAACAAAACTGTACAGATTTGCTATCCCACAGAACCCATTTGTCTGAAGCATTTAGTTCAGTTGCTCGTCATTAGCAGGCAGCAAACTGAAATGCTTTTCATGCATTTCAACAAAATCAATTATGACACTGACAATTGTTTAAAATGCATATAAAAAGTTCTACAGATAATTTCACAAAAAAAAAATAGAATTCAAAAGGGTGTAAATATCTTTTTTGGGCACAGACAAGACACTGATTTAGCACAGTTAAACTCTCCAAGCAGTAACTCTGGAATAACTATAAAAATCCTTTGACACACAACTTTAAACAATCTCAAAAATTCTCAGAATTTCCTTACCAAGGTATTTTTAGTCATCTTTATTCAACCTTCTAACTTTGTTACACAAACCTTAACTACAGCACCTTCTCTGATGCACTCAGATGGCAAAAGTAATTCCTTTTCTCCTGTTACGCTGATAGCAACAGAGGAAAGTGACATAACTTCAATATGAAAAAACTATACCATAGCAAAAAATGTGTCTTTCTCTACTTTCCTTTTATATTCTCCCCAAATCTCTCAAAGGATCAACATCTCTAGCCAGTTAGACAAATAAAAACAAGCTTTACATAGGCTTTCAGGATTTTTCTTTTTTTAATGACCACAACAAAAAAGAGAAAAATCCATGGTTTAGCCACTTTCTTTTTTCTTTTACAAAATAGCCCCAGGTTGAAAGTGGACAAAATATCTCTAGTAAAATATTTGAGGCATTCAGGCCCTATTGTATTGGGCTTTCCACCCCCCCCCCCCACCCCGAGTGTGAATCAGAAGCCAAAATGACATATGCTCAGTGATATGTGAAGGTCTGAGATGGGATATATGAGTAAAGCCTTTAGGCAATGTTATTGAAGCATGCACCAGTTATTTTCCCAAACAGGAAAAGAGAGAGAAAATTGCTGTCTTCCTTCTATTTACACAGATTTTGAAAGGCTTATGTTTTATCTAGACTAAGACTATATCAAAAGATAAATATTTAACTGTTAGATAACAGATTCTTACTGTTGTTAGATGTATTACCATAAATAAGCAAGATACCCTCAGTGTGAAGCAGATACTACATCGTGTGTTCTCTGCAGGGTTCAGGTGGGTACCTGGGCACCAGGTGTACGGGCAGCGTTGCCCTTTACCTTTGCAGAGGCAGCTATTCAGTGAGGACTGTGGGGTACCTGAAGCCTATTAACTGGGCTTGAGCGACAGCTCCCAGGAGAGCACAGGAGCTCTCATGCATGGCCCAGGGCCTCAGTGGAGGCTGAGAAGGCGAGTGATGTCTTGTAACCACCTAGTCTACAGCAACTCTTCACACCTCACACTCTGTACCTGAAGCCAGGATAGTCTTCACATTTTCCATCTGATACGCATAGAAATGGTCACCGTGGATTCAAGGAAACGCACCTGCTACAGCATGCAAAGTCCTTCTTACGTGGAAATAAAATGATCATTTTTGTGCATGCAAGTGTGTGAAATTCACCTTTACTTTCCACATCTTCTATAGTTGCTCAGGTTTCTGTATTTATTTAAGTAACAAACTGCCCAAAATAGGAGAAAGGCAGAAGCTGGCCCTACTCTTTCTTTGGGAAACGTCAGTGAAGCCTGTTCCTCCTGCCAGGCTGTTCTCCATCTATAATTTCCAGCCAGCCAGTCTCTTAGAAGAAAATATTAAAAAGGTCCGAGAGCCTTCGTGAGTTCAGAGCTTAGGCGAGAGCTTGTCTACCACCAGGCAATGTCAAAGCAGGCTCAACCAACTGAGTGTGGTTATCCGAGCAGGCATGCGTCCCATACACTGGGATCAGGGGGAAAAGAAGTCCTTCTGCAGAAAGGATTACTCTCAGTGCCAGTTTTTACCTCAGGTGGAAGTGGGATTTTCTGACAAGGCAGGGAGGCAGAGGATGAGAAAAGCTGTCAACTCTTGAACTGCAAAAAGTTCATTATTTTAACAGCTATTACTTTAAAAGCTATAGTAACTGCTTGCCTACAAGTTTCAGTTATTTTTAAGGCAAGCAATCATGTTGCTTAAAGTGCATGTAAGACACAAATGATTGCCTAAGTTCTCCTAACCTAACTTGCTCTTCAGTCGATACAGAGTAGGAGCCTCAGCATCAGTCAGGCTTTATGTTTACAAGGTGGCCTTAATCAGAACTTTTCATGACTGCCATACACTGCTGGATGCAAGTTACCATGTTTTTCCCGCTAAAGGGCTATGGACTACATTCTTTCATCCTCCTAAGACAAAGACACGAAAGTTTGCTCAAAGGCCTGCCAGTTGCTGTTGTTTTGACCCAGCTGAGAGGACCTGATTATAAGACAAGTATCCGAAAACACTGTTACAGCATGGTTCCTATGCATCAGCCAGATCTGTAAGTCTTCTTGCAAGCCTTGGCTACATGTTTCAGAATGGTGCAAATGTCTTAGAAACATGGATGACCATGGATAGAAGTGTAAAAACATCCTAACTGATTTTAAAAGCAATTTAGATTGTAATGTAGCAGTGAGTCCAGGTGGAAAATGTACATTGGCCAGAATACCAGCATGAGCATTTACAGTGTTGAAATCCACTGACTGAAGATCCCAGACAGTCATAAAGGGAGAGGATTTAGGACTGGGACAAGTGCCGAAGTGTTTTGTCCCTACTTACCATTGTGATTAGCGAGGGTCAAAACACACATACACAGAAAATGTGTATTATAAATGTAGGGTTAAAGCTAAATATGTCATAAACATTTATCTGAAACACAAGGTTTTAAGGAATTTAAGGATTAAGCAAAACACACAGGAATGGGAGAAATACTTTTTTTCTTGCTTCTTAGACAAACTTACGATCCACAGGAACTTGCTTCTGCCTCTGAGTGTCTCGTGCAACGCTACCACCGCTGTCGCTAGAGGTGCTGCTTTGGCGGCTGATGGTTGCTGGTGCTTTGGGCACAGGAACCGGTATAGGTGTGGGTGCGCTAGGAGGGAGGGGTACAGCCACGGGGACCGGAGCGGGTGTTGGAGGCGGTGAAGGAGTAGCAGGAACTGGATCGGGTTGTTTTGCAACATAGTCTGTCCTTTGTTTCTGAAAAGACACAGAGAGACTCAGTTTGACCACAAAACTTGGACAAGACATCAGACAAACTCAGGTTTCTACAGAAAATGCTGGGATGCTTTGCACCAACTGATTTCATTTATCACACAAAGGTGTCTTACTTGCCAGACACAGTTCCAAAATTTGCCAAAGCTTTATTTGGCATCAATGTCTGGCATGAATTTCCTTCTCTGTTGGATGCAAAATTCACAGCAATGGCATCATCTAAAACACGTTTCTTTCTTTCAAACAGATGAGTTCTATAAATTAAATTGTTTTTAAATCCCAAACTTCTATTACCTGGCATTTTTTAACAGCTTCCAAAATTTTTGAATTGTTGGACTTTATCAGTGTAAAAATGCGTATTTTGGAGATGTTATTTTAAAAATAGTGAAAAACGAACATATCCAGCCACACCTAAGCCTGACTAATGGTTTAACTTACAAATGCCACTGAGATTGGGATAACACATTGTTTCTTGAACAGCAGACACCATTCAAGATGTTCCTGCTCCTCCTACCCACTCAGTTGTGCCTTTTCAGCTATTTGTGTGATCACTACATACCACCTCAATACAATAATCCAACTAAAAAAACCCAACCCCCAAACTCCGCAATTATAGGAATAGGGCTGTTGTTCCTTTTCCCCCACTTTACAAAGTGTTCTGACAACATGCAAATTATCTTGCTGCTAATGACTAATTAGCAGGTGTCTCAAGAATAATTCTGGGGAATAATTTCTTTTCTCCTTCTTTGCCTTTAGAATGGTACTATTTATAGAAAGATGTATGTGTTTTCCCAAAGCAATCCCAATGACAGACAAGCCCCGAAGCTCATAAGCAACCTGTGTTACCCTTTTCTTTCAAATAGTTCAAACTCCACATCTCACTGTTTTAACAGTGCTCCCTCTCTGCAGTTTTGGACTAACACTGCTTGAAAGTTTAATATTAAAGTTTGTTTGCTCAATAGGGATACCTCATTTCTTAGTTATGAGAAGTCTGCTTACTTTTGTATGAAAATTGATGAGTACATTCCCCAGAATCATTGCTCCTTCCTGAAATACCTTCCCATTTCCTTGGAGGCAGAGGGTTTATGGCAGATCAAGTAGAGAAATATTTGTAGGAGCCATATGTTAGAATCTGAGCAGCAGATCACTGTCCTGACAACAATCAAACTTTCATTAAATGTCAGCAACTGCCCTTATACAGGAATCCCCGACTCAGTAAGTCTAACTGATGGACAAGGCATTTTGTAGTGAACGTAAACTGGGACCATTACAGCTAAGCTATGCTGAGTTACACCAGCAGAAAATTTATCCCATCAACTTCTATGGCCAGCCAATTAACCCTGGGGAAAAAAGTCTTTTGTTTCCCTTAGAGAATTTTTCACTTAAACTGTAGTAGTCAGGTACTGAAGTAAACATATAATCTTACAATACATTTCCCATTAAATATTTTTTTTTTCCTTAGCATTTAGTTGTTCAGAGGCATTGATTTCAATTATTTTGTGTCCCCCTTGTGCAGTGCATTGTGGGGAGATTAAAAAAAAAAAAAAATCATATGATTGACTTTTCTGTATTCTACTACTTCAATGTTAAGACAAGAAACGCCTTTTTAAATATCAAATGCCAAGAAAAGTGAAATTCATAATATAAAAAAGAACAAGCAGAATAACGTATATTTAAGAAACCTGTCCTTTCGTGAAGACTGCCCTACTAGGTATATTATAAATATACCATAATTTATGATATATAGATGTAACGATGGTATATCCAAAATCCTGTTAATGAATTAAAAAAATTAAAATATATTAAAATGTTATAATGATATTCAGATATTGTTTTAATCACGTTCACAGATTCCAATTGCTAGACTGCTATCCCCACAATGTACCCTCATGTGTACCCTGACCTTCTTAAACAACATGCAAGGAAAAAGCAGGGGGTTTTTATGGTAGAGAAGATTCATTACAAACCAAGGCATCAACTGCACATCACCATGATCATAATCCAGAAAAAGTGATAGCTAAACACTACACATAGCTCTCAACGGATGCTACTGATGTAGTTTCAAAAACATTGTACTGCAATTACAAGCCTCATCAAAACGACTTGCTGGAGTGAAAATAAAAATTAAACCGGAAGCATCAATCGAATTCTAAATTTACAGATAAATACACACTGAAATACCCTTCACATTTTGTTGAAGAGTGCCCAAAAGCCAATTATACATTTGAATCACATTTAATATTTCTTTTTTTAACTCTTCTTTTTTTAAACTCCAGATCTTTTGAGGACATCCACACATTCATCCCATCACTTCTATTCATTGCTACAAACAAAACACGCATGCACTATGGAATTTGGTGACTACATAGTCCAAAAGAGTTATTTTTGAGGTTCAATATCAGAATAGTAATTTTGTTACCTCTGAAAGCTCTCCCAGCAATTGCTATGAGGAAAATGGAGTAAATCACATCAAATAGTATTGTTAAAAAGGTAAAAAGTAACTGTGTCACATAACACTCCTGAAATTTCATACACAATAGCAATTTAAAACAAAGGAACATCAGTGCTAATAATTACCTCTTCTTACTCACTAAGCAACTCACATAGTCAGCTATTCTCTTTTTCTTCTTTTGAATAAGGACTGGAGTGTAGGCTACAAAACATACGTATGTGACACCATATAAGCAATATAAGCCATGAGCTCTTTCCAAAGCACCTACTCAGACAGAAACTTAGAAAGAGGTTTAATAAAAAACAAAACCCAAACAAAAAACTGGCAATGAATTGAAGATCATAAGGCAAATGTAGAGAACACTTGCAACTGTAGAACAATACGATTAACTCATGTCAGGTATTAAAAAAGGAACTTTTTTATTTTAGCTTAAGAAATGCTGGCTAGCTTAGAAAAGGTTGCTGCTGACAGACATGTACTCACTAATTTGTTGACAGCCATAAGAACAACAAAGAATTCTGGGTTCTGGTTTTCCTTCTTCCTCATATTTTTTTCTCTTAAGAATAAACTTGTAATCCTCAAGTGTATGTAAATTGGAATTAATCCTTTAAATTACTTGGAACAGTGATGATACACACTCACTACACACATTTTTTCTGTTTTTGCCAGAAAATCTTTGTTTTTACAGGAAAAAAATAGACATCCCAAAGCTCTTTTTCGACAGACTACATGCTGCATCTTGTCAAAAATCAAGATTCAATATGATTTGACCTATTTTTGATGTAAACAAAACAGTAAGTTTGAGTAAATGTGCTAATGGCATCAACACTAATTCTTGATCATTATAAAAAAAGGGAACAACATATTTTCAAATACATTTTGGCATCAAAAAAAGGAGAGTATGTGTATTCAAACTATGGTAAATACAGACTCAGCATTGAAGAGGCATTGGATACAACCATAACTGGCATTAGTGCTGGGAAATGCTCTCATTAAGTTAACGTGGATGCAGAGCTTCCCATTTACTCTCTTTCCAATGTGGCCATTTTAGTGCCACATGCCTGTTTGCACAGTGACAGGAGCTCACCAAGAGGGCTGCAGAGCATTCAGCCTCAGTTTTGTCAACAGCATTGTGGTTTGGATGCTTTCTTGAGATTCATTTTAAGACAGAAGAGAGAACTAACTACTTGTCTTCACCCAAAAGGGACAATGAGGTACCCAAGGCTGGAACAGCAAATTTCAAGCAAGGTCTTTTGCCAGAGTTTCCTTTGGTGGGCTCAGCTATTATGCAGAGTCAAAAGCTGCCTATTAAAATCCCATTACAGGTTACCTAACTAGGTCTTTGTGGGGTGTAAAGAATTTATGTTTTTATTGGATTTACAATACTGCCTTGCTAGAATCTTGCCAGAAAGCAAGAAGCACATTAGGATGGAAGGAGAAATTTAGGCTGAGTTTACTTATTCAAATTGCTATTAGCTAGGATTAGTTCCCATTTCTTAAAAAAAAAAAAAAATTAAAAAAATTATGGGCAAACTGGGGAGTTTTAATTCCTAACATTAATCAAATCCTTTTTACAAGTATTCAGCACATTTTTTTCTATGTGGCATCCCATAATTTGGGAATGGATCAATGTTGAATTGGTGTCTTGGCTTTGAGAGGAAATAACCTTTTTTTTTTTAAAGCCATCAAAAAGTTTTGGTCTGATGGCAACTTTAAAGAGCATTTGATATGAAATGACATAAAAGAGATACTGCCTCTAGGCCAAAAATTATGACATTTCTTTGGACACTGCAAAATGAACACCTGGCAACTGCATCTCTTCGTTATCAAACACTTCATTATCTGCAGGAAAGATACCAGTTAGCAAAAGATGAGTATGACACTATGACACTAGCTTGGAACACAAATGCTGTGCTTGAAAACTTCCCACAGAGATATTTTAAGAGAGCTGCTAAACAGAGAGACTTGAAAGAAAGGCTTTGATGGTAGATCACCAAGAAATGCAAAGGACACTTGGAACAAGTGAGGTGGAGACTTTTTGTCTTTGTTTACATACCATAAACACACCTCTTCCATATACTGTCACGTTTCTGTGGACAGTCATGTGTTTTTTTAAAATATGACTACAGGACTGCATTTGGCTTAACATACTCTCTGTGCCTCAGGATTTCATACACATCACTGATAGAACCATCTCACCTTACGACCGGTGTCATGAGATTAATTAACATGCCCACCAAGATACACACCTCTATCCAAATTATGTTACTCAAATTTCTTTTTCAAGAGCATTACAAAAAGTTAATAAAATGCACAGTAAATAGGAAATATTATGACTAATTATTTTCTAGGTTCACCAGCAATATTTGTACAAAAGAAGAAATCAGAGTGCTTGGGAAACTGCTTATGTCCATACATAATGGGATGGTGAAGTACCACTGTTCGTTCCCAATAAAAAGGCAGACGAAACAATCAACACCACAGGAAACTCTGATAAACAATAATTAACATTAGCAGAAAACATAAACAATCAGCAAAGCACTCTGCTAAATGTACAAAAGTACCAAACAAGCAAAAATACGGTTTTCCTGGAACTAATTCAATTGACCAGAAGACACACAGTATTACAGCCTCTGACTCACAAAGATGATGAAATAACTAGGATATTGCTTGCAATGTTCCTGCAAGTATCGTCTTAGACGATTCAGTGCTTTCCAGTAACTATCTGAGACCTGCATCCTGAAAGGAATTAAAAGAAAAATCAGGATCTAATCTAGTGTGTGGACCCAGAGGTCACCAGGAGAGGGAACAGAGCACAAGTAAAATAAACTTTGCAGCTCTGAGAATAATTGTGATAATAAGGCATGCACCTCTCAGAGAAAGGGTGTCCATCTGCAGAGTAATTGAAGAAAAAATTATCTCTTTCAATGGAATCCTTAATCCTTCCTAGTTACCTGGAAACATCCTTAGGTCAGCTGTGCTTTGAAGATCATTAGTCTCTAAAGAAATACGCTAACCTTGTACACAACACTTATCTGCAGCTCACCGCAGCAGACAGAGTACTTTGAAAGCAGTCTTTCGAAAACCAAAGATGACTTGGGAGACTGGCAAAAGCTGAAGAGCACCAGGCACTGAGGCTGCTTGTGTTCAGGGTCTGGCATAGGCACTGATATGAACCGCTTCAATTTCCTGCTCTACCCACAAGTTCTCCTGTTTGACCTTGGGCAAGGCAGTCATCCCTTCAATGCCTCATTTCTCTCTGAAATAGCAACAATGTCTCATAGCTCTGTTATGAAAATAAAGAGAGTTATGCAAACAGATCCCAAATGAACCATGTGTCTAT